ACAGATTTAATTTTATTGGCTACTTTGCTAGATTGGATTTTGCTCACATACTTGAATGTGTCTCCAGAATGCCTATCATTTAATTAATTCCACACTTCCAGGATTAAATGTACAGAAATTATGAGAACTGCAATTGGTCATAACTGAAAGCATTCAAGAGAATACCAATAAAATTTATTTAAACTAGATTTCATAAAAAAATGCTTAATGTTTTGTATTATTTTTCTCACAGAATACAATTTTTATAAAAAGTGAGAGTAAACTTCACATACAGATCCCATTGAAAAGCTCATCTCAGAACAGAGTGATCAAAAAGTTAAAATCAAACTTTTATTTATTTTTAACTTGTTAAATAGTCAACCTATACTGAAGGTTTCCAAAATAATTAAATCTCTAATTAGATGATATTTAGAAAACATAATGCATACTTTCATACACAATTTAATTTTATTAATTAGTAGCACAAAAAGAATAAAATATCTTGGCAGTTCTTTGGCAAATAACTTAAAAGTAATTTTAATCACAAAAACTTATATAGTTATACATTAATTAAAAAAAAAGGCTTGAAGCTATAATTTTATATATAAATAGAAATAAACATCCAGAGTAAATATAACAAAGAATGACACATCTGCAATCTGTACAACTTTTACAAAACAGTTTGCAGTTTATTATATTATATCTGGATTAAAAAGAGAGGCTGCCATTTCACTCACTAATTGAATTTTCAATTTGCTGTATACAATTCCAAGAGCAGAAAACATTCAAATCCTACTGATGAAGCTCCTATGCTTAGTATTTCAATGAAAACCAACTCTTTTTATTACAAGCATTCTTTTGCAAAAACTACAAGCATTCTTTTGCAAAAACTATTGATATCCATCAATCAAATGTGATTCAATAACTCGACTGTTTCATTTTTTTCCCTGCAGAATGGTGGAACAGCATTTATAAATTTCAATATAATGCTAAAAAAGAGCAACAATTAGAAATTTTTCTTTTACTAACTCCAATACTTGTTTCTTTTCATTTGCTAAGGCTTCAATTTATATTCTAGTGATAAAACATGTAGGGTCAGTCCATAAGTTTGTGCGCATTAAGAGTATGCATGGAATTCATATGATGCATTTACTAAAACAATACAATTTTGAACCTGTTGAAACTTGTCATCATTTGACTAACATATTATTCAGTTTATCACCAACTTTCATACATATTGAATGCATTTTAGTACCCATAGAAGCTGAATATAGATAATGAGTACAAACGTGCTGTGCTACATTTTTTATTTTTGTGTGGTGAATCTGCCAGGTTTGCAGTGATAAAAATTAATAGTCTACATAGTGAACACACTATTAATGTAAGGACTGGCCAGAAATGGTTTGAAAAATGTAAAGTTGGAAAAAGCAATATTGATGACGAACCCCGTTCAGGACATTTTGAACCATTAGAAACAAATCAAACAATTAATTCAGAAGTTTATAGTGAACAATTTTGCCGTCTAAACTCAGAATTGATCAAAAAAATGTCCAGGATTGGTGAATATCAAGAAAGTGTTATTTCATCATGATAACGCTAGACCGCATACGGCTCGAATAATGCTGCAAAAAATTAGTGAATTTAATTGGGAGCTTTTGCCACATCCTACTTACTCCCCAAATATTGCCCCAAGTGATTTCCACTTATTTTGTGCCTTACAATTTTTTTAACTAGGAAAAAAATTACATTCTAAACAGGATGTACACAATGAACTTTCAAGTTTTTTTTGCATCAAAACCAGAGTATTTCTACAGCAATGGCATAAAAAAGCTGCCTGTAAGATGTTGAGACATTGTAGATAATGGAGGAAAATATATAATTGATTAAAATGTTACATTGTGTTTTTTTATATTATTTAAAAATTTACCAAAAAATGTGCACGAATTTATTATGTCTGTTTATAGAATTAAAGAGAAAGTATTAGCACAAAAAAATGAAACAACTTACATTGAAATAAATGTTTAATAAAGTAAACAAATAAATATTAAGCTTTTTTTTTTTGTAAATTTTGATACCCTTTAAATCATAATTGTTCTTTATTTCATAAATTATGGTTTCATATTTTTAATTTCATAATTTCTGCATGCCATCTTACCAGATTTAAACTGATGATCTATAATCCGGAATCGCCGAAGTCCCGACGAGTTCCGGATTAACGACTTTTGACTGTAGTAGTCTGGAAGGGCATATATATATACGCCCGGGGCAGTTAATGCATCGGCTGAGCAAGGTGTATATATACGCCCAATGGCAGTTAAGGGGTTAAACAAAAAGTGAAATTGCGGCAAAAAATGGGTAAAGGTATATCCGTCTCAAAATTATGTGAGGAGTATGGCATTGGAAAGTCAACTGTATATGACATTATAAGAAAAAAGAACTTTTTTAATTTTTTGTGGAAGCAACTTAAACAAGTTACATTGAACGAAATGTTTAATAAAGTAAACAAATAAATATTAAGCTTTTTTTGTGTAAATTTTGATACCCTTTACATCATAATTGTTCTTTATTTCATAAATTAAGATTTCATATTTTTAATTGTATAATTTCTGCATGCCATCTTACCAGATTTAAATTGATGATCTAATATTTGGAAAAATTTAAAATCCGGAATCGCCGAAGTCCCAATGAGTCCGGATTTCGGACTTTGTACTGTATATGCTAACGACAGTGCTTATTCATACCAGGTTTTAAATAACTTTAGGCATGCTTTATCAAGACTTATTAAGCTATTTTCAAACTTTATCAGTTTCAACAATATTGTAATTATCTTCTGAAATTTATTCAAAGCAACTAAAACTGGTTTTAAACAAAGTAAGAGATGTTCTATCCTTTGTCTGACTACTCTATTATGAAATTTAGCTTGAATATTCTTGCTATTACAACTTGATCCTCTTTCAAAGTTTATGTAAAAATTGACTACTTCTTTATATAACTTTCAAGGGAGTCGCATACTGAGTTCCAATGTATTTGGTATACTTAAACGAGTTCAACTGCATTCATTAAATTCGGCTTAGGTGAGTTTGTGAATTTGAAAGAATAATATTTGCAGTAAAATATGATATATTTAAATCTTTGGCCAATAAATTTAAGTATATGTGCTGAACAAACATAAGCTATAAGCTGAAAATTGTTTAGTTGTTTTTTTCATTTTGGCCATTCATGCTGCATTATCAGACACAAACTACAAATTTTAACTTTTTTAATGGAATCAAGTAAGGTTAAGTAAATCTTTACTTGCAAAATTCCATGTACTGTACAAATAAATATCCAGATAAATGGTTAACTATTCATATTACACAGTCTAGCATCAAACATACTGTTTGATTAACTAAATTATTAAAGCATTTTCCTTTTTGTTCTTCATATATATAATTTAATAATTTAAGTCTCTTTATATAGAGACCTGTATCAAATATGCAACATTTGATATAATTTTATGAAGTGAGGGTTTTCTGTGCTACAAAATAATGCAGTAATGTAAAAACAAATTAATAAAAAATAAAATATTTTGCAGCTTAAAAGAGTTTACTTGCTTCCTCAGCTACTTTAGATGTTTGAGAAGATGTCATTTTTGCGGCATGTTTACATGGATCAAGCACAATGCATTTTGAACTAATACAGATGCAGTGAACCACATCAGATTTATACCTGAGACTCAACAGACATGGAAATGACACACTTTCTTGCAATGTACTAACAAAGTTTGCTTAAAATATTTTGAACATTTTCACTTTTTGGAAAATATTTCATTTCTTTATGAAGTCGTCACCACATAAACTCTTATAAGTGTATTTCAAGATGATGACATGAGGTGCCATACTGGCACGTATTATGGCATTTTGCACTGCTCCACATTCTTTCAATTGTTTGCAAATGACATCTAGTGTTTGGGTCCATGAAATTGTATCAGTGGGTAACTGTGAGATAGCCATTTCCCACTCCTTTCAAATTCTCTGCCTTTTTTTTTTTTTTTTTTTTCCAGCAATCAGGAAAAACTGTACTGCCATCTGCAACATTTTTTTTTTTTCAGTCACACCAAGTAAAGTTTTATCTAAGCAATCCAGAATAGCTACAAGAAAACATTTTTTTTTTTTTTTTTTGTTTTTGTTTTTGTTTTACTACACTGTCATCCAAAAATCACCTATGGAGGAAGAACATATCCAGCATTATTTTTCCTTCAAATAAAAAAAAACTTTAGTCAACCTCTACTATTCTGTCATTCCGACTAATTTTAACTTCAAGTCTACATAACAAGACATAGGTGCAAACCTCCCGCATATAATTGTTCCTATGACATCTGTATCGTGTTTCATACTACAAAACTCAACTGAGCTCAAGACACCTAGAGTCATGGCACCAAGAGTCACCACCTTCATAGCACCAAGAGTAGATAAATTTTATTGCTGTAAAGAAATTTAGGCATGATCTTTCAAATCAAGTGTGATATCTGGCACCTCTTTTTTGTTAACAAGACCTAAGTTTGCAATGCCATTTCGGTGCATCATAATTGGAAAACACATAATTTCATGAAAGTTTTTACAAAATCTTCACCTATGAAAAATTTTTTTATCTTGTCAGAATTTTACTGTCTTCTTCTCATCTTGAGATAAGTTCCGATTCAAAAAATATTTCCTCCCCCCCCCCAAATAAAAAAAATGTTTTGAGTCAAATAATGTATACAAAGAAAGTCATCTATAAAATTACGTTTTGCGCACTTTAAAAAAAGGTTGCAAACCATAACATATAAATATTTGTCTCAGTTTCATTCATAAAACTGAGATGACTCAGCTGATTATATTGTAGCTATCTTTGGCACATTATCACAAATTTTAGCAATTTTTTTTGTGATGCTCATATAATGGAAAAGTATCCTGAACAAAAATAAAGTAAATGAAAAACTAGAAAATCAAGTTTTCTATATTAATATAGAAAAAGATGGTTACTTATTGTAATCTTTTTACCTTTGTTCTTTCTCAGCAAGCTTGTTCTGTAAACTTTCAAATTCTCTATTTTTGTTATGATCTTTAGATGCAAATTCTAGTTCCATTTCTCGTAATTGTTTCTGAAACTTGTTTTCATATTCTTTTTCTAGCAGCAATTCTTTTTCCTACAATACAAGATAGAAGTTAATTTCAACAAAATGTAAACTAATTTTGTAAACTAATTTCTATAAAATAACTGAAATTTCTGAAAAAGCTTATCATGTATCTATTTCCTAATGTGAGGCTAAAAAAAATTAAATATAGCAATACTTATTTACACCAAGTTTTTGAATCTCAACAAGTAGTTTATCTCGTTCCTTCTTCAATTCCTTTTTTTCAAGTTCCATTTCTTGTTGTATTTTTTGTTCTCGAGAATGCAGATCATCTAGCTCTTCTAGTAGTTTACAGCGTAGCTTCTGGACTTCTTTTTCATTTTCTTCCTTAACATATTGAAGCTGCTCATAAAAACTAGATTCAGCTGATTTGTTTTCAGATGTTAAAAGTTGATTAGCGTTCATATTTCGGTTCTGAAATTTCAACGACTCAGAAACCATTTTATCATCATATGATATATGTTCATCAGTTTCCTTTAAACCGTTTGGAAAAGCCATCTCTAGAAGATCCTTTTCAAACTCATTTCTTTTTACTGTTTCTTTTATTTCACCTTCATGAATACTTAATTTTAATACTGGACTTTTATGTGAAACTTCGAATAATGATTTGATAACAGTTAGTAACAATGAATGTGAAAAACCCTCTTCATTTTTTGTAGCATACATTTTAATAAAACTTTTATATTCTGGACTATTCGTGTCAACTCCAAATAATTTCAGTATATCACAAACAGTCAAGAGTTTTTCTGGATCAGATAAATTAGCTTCAGTTACAAAGGTAGACAATGTATATTGACAGCCTTGTCGTGACAAATGATCATAAACAAGCCAGTTAGAAACCTGAAAATAAAAGAATTTACATCAATTTATTTGAGTTTCTTAACTACACACACATACAAAGAGTGAGCAAAAGTATTTTGCAACACAAGCATTTTCATACAGTAAATATATTGGGGGGGGTAAAATGTTTTATTACTGATATACACAGTCGAAGTTTATGATTAAAATAACTTTCCTTAAAGACATATCTCTGTAGAAAATGCTACTGTATCAAATAAATGAGATTTTTAGGGGCATCTGAAATTAATATTCATTACAATTTTAATAAATTTTGAAGAATACTTTTAGCCCATGTTGTAAATGTTATACAGTACAAAGTCCGTAATCCGGACTCGTCGGGACTTCGGGGATTCTGGATTAGGGGTTTTTCGGATTATAGATCATCAATTTAAATCTGGTAAGATGGCATGCAGAAATTATACAATTAAAAATATGAAACCCTAATTTATGAAATAAAGAGCAATTATGATCTAAAGGGTATCAAAATTTACACAAAAAGAAGCGTAATATTAATTTTTTTACTTTATTAAACATTTCTTTCAATGTAATTTTCTTCACTATCAGAAGCGCACATGGGTAAATGCTTTACTGGCTTTACGCGCATGCGTAAGTTTGTGGCTTTGAGGTCCGGATTATAGATCATTCCAGATAATGGACATCCGGATTACAGACTTTGTACTGTACTATAAAATATTTAGTTCTGTCAGCCCTACTAAAATAACAGTTTAAAGATATATTGTATTTTATGAGTAAATAAACCTATGATTCACTCATTTATGAATGTCATTATCAAGTATTAGACATGGAAGCATAAGAAACATACACGTTTAAGAGACACCCGAAAAATTTCGAGATGCACAAAAACTAAGATATATAAAATCATTTTGATCACTGTTCCCTCAAAATAATTTCTGATACATTCTGTGTACTTTTGTACTCATGTAGCCATTTTTAAATACACACTTCTAATTTTCTTCAAGTGCTTTTATAGAAATGATTGACTGAATAAATTTTTTCTGTCAATGTGATTTTTTATTGTAAAAAACAGTTAACTATCAGGTCAGGTTATGATTTCAAAATGATTGAGTAATAAGTTTGATTGTTGAATTTGAGAGATGACATTAGCTATGTGGAAGTATGCTTTACTATGGTTAGAAGATTATTAACAAGTCATCCTATCCTTTTACACTATTCTTGCACCTTTCTGAAAACCTGAGATAAGCATATTATCATGTACCACTGAAAGGTATAACAGTTCTTTGTTCCTTCAGAGGAACAGTCGCAATGTGACCCTTTTTGAAGAAGAAAATTGCTATAATTTTCTTTCGGACACTTTGAAGTAGCCTTACTTTTGATTTGCAATGGAAAAAATTCACACTGCTGATTGACATTTGTTCTCTGGATTACACTGTAAATTCAAATTTCATCACTAGTAATGATGTTATAAATGTATCTAGAGCTGCCTTCGCTAAATATGATTAGCATTTAATTGCAAAATTCTATACTGATACACTTTTGCTCATCTATCAAAGTGTGCGACATCCACAAGTTGAAATTTTTCAAACTTAAAGATAATCATGCAGAAGTTTTGACATTGTGAGTAATTTAATTTGTAATTTTTTTTAATATCTTTAAGTGCCACTCAGATGTTTGTTCCTTTTCTGTTAACAGGATGCCAGTTGCCAGATGTGCTAGCCTATTTATACTGCATCATGAATGGCTGTGTGCATTGCCGATTTTGTGCAACTGTCTGTCATTGTACACATGGGGAGAAGTGCTTTTCCCATGTACAGAGTAGTACAGAATTGCTCAAATTCAGCATAATATGCAGCTTCGGCATTGCAAGCATTAAACATTATATGATATGTTACTGCTATTACAAATTCATTTTATGAAGTTTACTCGCAATCGAAGCCAATGAAGATTTTTTTGATCAATTTATTAGACACTCTTCCTATGCTGTATTCTGCATGGAATTCAGTGACTCCAAGGACAATTGAAAACTGTCATGCAGGATTCTCAAAAGTATCAGATTTGTTGGCGCCAAAAGAAATGGAGAAAGAAGATACTGAAACTGAGCTGATATTTAATGAAATGTTTGAGAAAGTTTCTGCATTATTGAACTGTCCTACTGTATCACTGGAAGAATTCATTGCAGTAGATGATGACAATATGTGTACAGCCTCAATTATGACAGACAGAAATATTTTGGAGTTTATTCAAGGTTAAAAAAATATCATTGATGCAGATTCCGAGGACAAAAATGAAATGAATAATGCAGCTGTTCCTACGTCATCCAAAATGAGGAACACCATGAAAAGTATGCATACTTATTTAGACACAAATTCCATTTGTGAAATGAATAACAAAATAGACGAGATCGAACAATTTGTTGACAATTTGATGCTAAAAAAGACAATGCAAAGAAAAATATCAGATTATTTTCCAAAAAATCAATAAATGTTTTGTTTTTAAAAAACTTGAAAATTTTATATTAAATTTCATCAAGTTCTTGTGGATATTTTTGTTTCATTGGTTTTTATTAAATACATGCATATATACATATTTATGTAAATGTACTCTAATAAACCTAATTTTGTTGAATATTTATTTTTTTTTAAATATCCTTTAACACAAAAAAATATTTTGGTCCCCTCAGTTTCATGTTAAACGATTTTCACTGTATATTAAACATTGCACATAAAATACATTACATTACTGCTGGGCATCACACCCAACCTCACTTTGCCCATGTGCACAATGATCTGTATTTGCTCGAAAAACATCAAAGAATTGCAGAACTTGATGTCCATTTACACACTAATCTATTTTTCACATAAAAAAAAAAAATCAGAAAACTCAGCATTGCGCACTACCTTGGCTTTGCTCATGTACACAACAATCTCTTTTCATATAAAAAAAAAAAAAAAAAATCAGAGAATTGCACAAACTTGGCATTGCACACTGCATTGGCTTTGCCCCTTCTAGGATCGAGCTGAAAAGATAACAAAATATTAAAAATAAGCAACTTTAAAAAGAAGCTTAAAAGAAAATAATTTTCCACTTACTCTTTTCAGGTAAATGGAAAATAGAAATGTTGTTAAAATGGCACAATAACGTTCATCACTCAATGAGTGGTTGTGCCATTTTTGACACATATATTCCGTTAAATGTGAATCAAATTCACCATCTAGGCAGTTTGTATTGCGATCCAAATGATGTTTCCAGACCAAGCACTCTTGATAGAATTAGTGTGTGCAACCATTCAGAATCCCGGAAGTACAGACTGTGGTTGACAGTCAGATGGCCATACCTTAAACCTTTTAGTCCACCATATGCGTTTCAGTATTCTGAAACCACTAGATCCTAGCAACACACATTCAACTATTAACTCTCTCCAAACTCACTTTTGATCTATTCTCAACCTCTCTATAATATAAAAATGTCTGTTCGTTCCTCTTTCTGTACCATCAATTACTCAATGACCGTCCCCAGACTTTCCTCTCCGAACTTACTTTCATCCACTTTTCCGAACTTACTTTCATCCACTTTAATTATCACTGCTTCACCACCAATTGGAATGCTATCATTTATCACAGTCATCATACACACTTCTCTGCAAAACATAAAACAATCAACAACAGCATGCTCATGCACTTTCACTTCTTGAAACACAGATTCATTTCCCATTTTTAAAAACCAACACCTTGTAATTCTCAAAATATAACATATACTCAAATGGCTATGACTAAACCATGGACCTTTCCTTATACTTCTACAAACATCATGCACATTCACTTTTCATTGCTTTCTATAACACCATTCATTCAAACCCATCCATACTTCCCTTTCTCTCACACAGACGTGTTTTATCACCACATTTTGGACAAAATCTTACCAGTCTTTTCAGAAGTTTAAGTAGTAATGTAAAATTAAAATTATTTTATGTTTTTATTTAATCAAATTTTATCAGGTACATTTTAATTGCAAAGTATTCAAATTATAAATGGGCATGGATTTTTGTAGCCAAATTGGCAATATTTCATTCACTTTGAATTTTTGCTTACATTACATTTATGCCACATACATGCCACTCCATTATTAGTTTAGATTGCGGACATTTTATTAATTTTATTGAAGTATGATAAAGGCACAGTAAACGGAATTAAAATAAAAACTGCTCATACCAAATATATATAGACAGTAATTCGAATAATATCAAAATACAAATTTAATGCATTTATTGCCACTAATAATTTTTTTTTAATTAACCATAATAATACACAAAGGATAGAAACTATTTTTATAAAGTACATACTTGTAAGGGTAAAAGTGCTATATCAAAATTTTTATTTTCGGGATGCATTTTTGATGCCCCTAAAGGTGATGCAATTTTAAACAGTTCTGTAACCAACTGGCCTCTCAGCTGAGCACGCAAATGATCTAAAGAACCATTTTTATCGAAATGTGCATACAATTTTGATTTTAGCTCATCAGCACTCATGTGCTTCACAGTTTTCAATTTACGAGACATTTTATAAAAGTATTTTCGACGTCGATACATAAAAATGAACGTTTCGTACAAAAAAATATTAACAAAAAGATAGAGTCCTTTCTGAAAACTGACGTCTGGTTAGTAAATACATTTTGTTTGCTTATCTATATATATATATAATTACACGACGAATATTAAAAGTGAGACTTCAAAAATTTCATATTCTTCTAAAATATGTTTTTCTTAGATCGGATATCGTTACAGAGCTTGAAAGCATTTAGAAGCAAAGTTTAATAATATAACACTTTTCAAACACGAAGAGAAACAGAACACTGGTTCAAACTTAGAATGTAAATATAAACAGAAATCAGCACCTAAGTTGAGAAGTAAGAATGCTGGAAATAAATCTCTGAGGGCGGCATCCAATTGCAACCACCTGCTAATTGGTACTTAGAGAGATCTACCAGTCTACTTTGTCTGTCTGTCTGTCATGATCTCAAAATAGACACAATTAAAAATTATATTATAAAACTTATCAGAAGCATATATCTTCTGTAATGCAGGTAAAAATTTTGACATGGACCTCGTTGGAGAGTTCCGAACTTGCGGAGAGCTTCGAAATTATTTAAAACGACCCTGATATCTCTATACTCTATTTAAAACATTGATTGATTGAGTTAAAACTTCAGTGGGACACTCTGACGTGAAACGTATACAAAATTTAAAAATCCTCCGTCTGTTCAGTTTCACAAATAAGTGAATTATAATTTGTGTAAACTAATGTATGAAAATATTTAAATGAGCAATATATTGAAATGCATGATAACCAACTTATAAATCGCAATTTTTTCATCCTGTTATTGCAGAGGGTTCATGGTGTCTAGAGGAGCCTTAATGGTGTCATTGCTGATAACACGCCAATGAATTTTCCGAATTATATACTTTGTTCACGTGTAGGTGGCAATATACTTAGGTCTTTACACGGAAATGTGTACACAGGTGCTTTATGAATTAATATGTAATTACATGTTGGAATCTTAGTTACACAAAATAATCAAAGTGCTTATTGTTGAAAATTTCAACCTTTAAAACAAGCAGTATGTTTTTAACCAGAGACATTTTGTCGCCAGTTCAGCTGAAACGACTGAGTGATCACAAATACAGTTCAAGTGGTCGCACGTTATTAGATCCAATTGTTCAACCTTTTTGGAACTGGCTTGTACAGAAACTACCTTTATGGCTTGCTCCAAATTTAATGACAATTAGTGGATTACTTATTAATATTTTGACATCTGTTATTTTAATATGCTATAGCCCTGATGCAACCCAAGAGGTAATATGATCAGTGCTTGTACCTACTTGACAACTAGTTCACCATTCAGTAAAGTAAAATGATCTGGAAAATAGTTTCACCGGAATAAATTCGTTTAATTTTTATGAAGGCAACTCAGTAATATACTTTAATTTGTATATAGACATGAATAAAGTTTATGCTAACTGAACATAGTTCCTGAAATGTTTGTTTTTTGAGGGAAATTATTTTGAAAAATAGATAATAATTAAGTTTTAATTAAAAGTGAAACCCTTCCTGTTGTTACTTATTTACAGTGAAATGGTTAAGTATAGATACTAAACTAATTACTAATGTATCAGTTTTTAGTTCCATAAATGAAAGTAATGCATCATAATTTGCGTACCGTCGGTACAAAACGGGCTAAAGTGCAGAATCGCCCACTTATTTGATTGGCGTTTGTTTGGCGCATTTTACAAGAGTAAGAAGAATTGAATTTTTGTCAATTTTCTTTGACTTTTTAAGTGAAAATAGGTCGATGTGTACATGGATAAAGTCAAGGGAGTGCAGAATGCTATTTTTGTGCAAGTCTGGGATGTTTTTTTAAGTGAAAATAGGTCAGTGTGTACATGGATACTGAGTATGTGCAATTCTTAAAAATGCGCCAAGCAGTGGGCGATTCTGCACCTTACAAAACAAATTTTAAATCAGTGTATTTTTAATGGCTAATTATTTTTTCTTTTGTTTTGACTTATACTGTTGCTTAAGTTTTTGGTAGTCATTTTCTAATGTTTAGTGTTATTGAATTTAAGGGTATAAATGGCAATAAAGATTTAACTTACTATTTAGAATGGTGGTATATGTTGTCAGTAATGGACTTTATTTATGTAATAATCAATTCAGGTTTTTAAAATTTGTCTATTCTTACTTTTTATTGTTGTGATGAGTAATCTTTATACCTACAGAGGTATGTATTTTTAATACTTTAAAATAATATTTTGAGATGTTATTGTTTTCATTGTACGAAGAAATTTTGGTGCTTTCCCATTAGCCTCAACATCTCATAAATGTGCCAAACTATTGTACTAGTTTTTTCTGGTATAGTTCTACCGTGTATAGCGGAACTCTGGTTGGCATTCTGCAAAAACACATAGACTCGTCCAAAAGGGGCGGTATTACTTGCTGCAACGAGAAAGGTCTTCTCTTCTCCAGAAAGAGCTATGCTGGAGGGAAAGAAAGTCCCCATCCTTCCACCCTATTTTGAGAATAATTCGGTCTGAATGGCGCATGTGTGTTTGCGCTCATGGTCGCGGATGAGGCGGTCAAACTATAACTGGTAGTATTGTTTAATGACATTTGGTAATTTATATAAAAAAAAAAATAACATTTAGTGATTTATGCTTTTGATTGGTAATATTTGCTTGCTTCTTACAGTTTGACACTAAGTGTAACCCTAACTAAAGCCAATTATGTAGCCAGAATATTTTCTGCCTTTGTCAGTGCATACTAAAAGTTCTATAAAATGACAAAACTTCATATAGGAAAGCTAATAAAAGCTCTACATTTATTTTTAAATTAAAAGTGGTATTTTTTGTATTTTGCTATCTTTTCTGTTAGTGAAATTGTTCATGAAAAGTTTGTTTCGTTACTTAACACAGCATGGCATCAGTTCCTGGGAACCAAGTGTGTTTTTTCTGTTTGACTGTTGTAATAATTTCAATTAAATTTATTAAAACTTATTACAATTTTTTAAAATTTATTATTTTTCTTGTAGACATTTGTAAAATGAACAACATGTGGCTGATTGCCTTTAGGATCAAATTTTTAATTCTGGTCTCTGATTTTGTTAGCACATATGCCATAGCTGTCATTGTCAAGTTTAATTGCCTGGTCTAATGAATTATTTTCTAATGAATGACAGCTGTAAAATTCAATGTCCATATTTGGATGATAAAAATAATGCAGTCAATTTTTCATTATTTCCTTCTCTTCCAAACATTTTCAGTCTGATGGGCAATAAATACATTCAAAAAACAAACCAAAATTTTCTATTCTCAAATCATCTCAACACTTCTGTGTCTTTTTTCTAATCGATCATCTCTAGGAGGTTGGCTTTTTGCCATTAGTATATGTGTGCATTGGCTGCATCATTGTCCCATTTTTAAGAAAAATAAGATGAAGCAAAGTAGTTCGCTGTTCATTCTCTTTAGTGTTTATTCGCTGCAGGTTGAATGGAAAGGACAGCAATAATGGTGCACATGTTAAGTTCCTGCTATGTAGAGAATACAATAAGATTACTTAAATGCTAGGTTATCGTTTAAAGGTCTTGGGTACTTTACAATCAATTTGTATTTAGAAGAATTTGTGTCAAAACAAGCAGCACAAACTAGTGATGGCTGTATTTTTTTATCTTGATAATTGATTATTATGTATTTTTTAGCACCAAGTCTGAAAACGACCTTCATTCTTTATTATTACATCAGGATTTTTCACAAATTGCAAATTTCAAAATTTTTAAGAAGAAAAATTTTAAAAATATGAGCCTTTAAAATAGATGTAATTTTTTTTCTTATAGTTTATTCCTTTAATTTTTTTTACTAAATATTCTTATAGCATTCTAAGCACATACTGATTTAATAATAAAAATATACCTATTAACTTTCTTATTTCTGATGTACATGAATGAATTTAATATTTCATATGAAGCTACTGATTGACCACAATATTATCTCAAGCCACGATATTGTCTCTCTTCATATTGAGGATTGAAGTGCATCAATATCCTTTGAACATTTTGTCCATTTAATAGAGTGTAACAAAAATTTAGAATTTATTCTCAACAAAATTGAGTATGACAAACATAAGTAGATTATGTATGGTGGTCTTAAAGTAATAGCAATGCTTCTAGCACAGCAAGGTGGGTATAGAGCTTGTTTTTTGTATGAATGGAAGAGCAGAGATAGAGAAATCATTGGATAAAGAAAGATGGCCAAAAACAGCTTCATTAGAACCACAAATGTACTTTGAAAAGCTCTCATAAATCTGAATAAAAGTCTCCTTCCACCTCTACATATCAAACTAGGCTTGATGAAGGAATTTGTTAAAGCCTTGCCAAAATAAGGTCAACATTTTAAATACATCTGTGATAACTTTTCAGCTTACCAACTTCCAAACTAAAAGAGAGTGTCTTTACTTATCCTGGTATTAGAAAACTTCTCAAAGATGGTAATTCTGAAAAAAAAAAAAAAAAAAAAAAAAAAAAAAAAAAAGGTGGAAGTTATATGAAAAGAAGCCTCGGAATCCTTTAAAAATGTAGTGACAAAGTTTTTTGGATAATAAGAAAGATCCAAACTTGGAGCCATTGCGAACATGCTGCAGATGTATGAAGCGGCTATTCCATGAACTGAAAGGTTCATTTCCTAAATTCACATCTGAACTATTTGCCTAAAAATTTGGGTAATGTTAGCGAAGAAATTGATTTCATCAAATTATCAAGAAATGGAGAGGAGGTATCAAGGAAAATGGGCTACTTCGATAGTGGTTGACAACAGCTGGATGTTACACTGAGATGAATCCCATCAAGAACATAAAAAAGAAAAATTACAAAGCAGAGCACGAGTGACATTTCATGCAATCTTAGATGTATGAAATAAAATTGTATATTTTATATACACTGCCTTAGTGTAAGCTAAAAAGAAGAATAAATTCTAATAAAAACATTTTAAGTCTATTTTAAAGTCTCTCATTTTTGTAGTTGTTCGACCTTTATTTTCAAATTTTAAAAAATAATGAGGTGTTGGAAAAAAGAAATGTCATTTTTGGATTTAGCTCTGAAAAATAATAGGAATCAATTAACAAAATTTAAAAAATATAACCTGACTCAAGTTTTGCAGGCTTGTGTAATTTTTCTGAATACCAAACATCATTTCTTGTAAATATTGACAAAATTGCATTCTGTCTTAGAGTAAACTTCAGTGGCTGTTTTTTAACCTTTCTGTTAATTTTTTCTAAGCAGTTAAAAACAAAACCAGTAGTCCTCTCTCAGCAAGGAATTCTTTATGTCCTTGTGATAATGGTACTGACATTCATATCTTTCATTTAGAAATTTTGATGGATCCAGAAAGGCGAGATGTGAGAGCATGATGCTGTAAAAATCTTGTTATGATTTTTCTGAATGCTTTGTTTGGTATAGAAAGAATTTTCAGTCATCCATATGGCACTTCAACATCTCATGATTCTTCACTTCATTGATTGAGTGAATAAGATTCATGAATACTAGTAGTTTGACATAAAATCAAATCTTGAAGAAGAGGTTGGTTGCATAAGTGTTTTATGGATCCTATTGTATTAATAATGAATATGAACCAGTGTTTCCTTTTTCTAAACTAGTCACGGTTAGAAACATCATGAACCATCTATCCTCCTTGAAGACATCCTTATCTCTAGGCAGGTATCCATAACACAATAAATCTCAATCCATTTTTCTGCTTCAAAGAACTAAAGCCTTTATTAGTGTAGACTAAAGCTTACCCTAAGCCTGATTGAAACATTTGGGAGGTAGTGTACTAATAGAAGAGTGCCAAAAGTTCTTCATAAAAAAAAAAAAAGTGAAAAGGAAATGGAGTGGTTTTGATGCTGAAATTAATTTTCAATTAATAATATTGTGTTGCTTATGAAGTCAGTATTATAAAAGCAATGCATAGTATTTAATAGTATTTTACATACTTTTTGAAAGAAATAGAGAAACAAAATTGATTTTTAAAATTAAAGTACAGTAAAAGCTTGACTATCTGGAAAGCTCCAGAAATGCTGAACTCCAGTTATATGAAAATTCCGAAGAGCTGAGAGTATAAAAATTGGGATAGTATTTAAAAATCCAATGAGTCATGATGAAGGGAATAAAATGCAGCTTCAGAAAGTCCAGGACCTTGAGGCACCGAAAGGTTGAAATCTGGCTTTGCCCCTGCCTACAGTGTTTTAGCTAATCATCCCTACCAGGAGTATTCACCCCCACTATACTTTGGCCATTCTGCCCAAGGTCACCACCCGCCATGATAAGGCAGCACAGCAGGGGCCATCTTTATTGTCTACGACATGTGTCAGGCTTTAAAGTTTATCCCTTTTGCCCGAAATGCAGTTTGACCCTTGCTACTCCTGCCCATGTCTTATCATGCATTGGTTTCCTGAAGAGCCAGTTGTACTCCAGTCGGGATGCGGTTCTTAGTTGTTTGAAAATCTACAGGTTCATGGACTTGATCTAGATATTGCTGTAGATCAAGTGGGGTAAGAAACAACACTTACAAAATTGGAATTCATGGTAGAAATCATTTTTGTTTAGAAAAGCCAACTGAATAGAAGAAACTTTCTATCTAAAATTATGAAAAACAGTCATCTTATTTGTTACCAGTTGAATATCAAAAGCCTATATTTAAAATTATGTTAGATTCTGGAGGAGGATACTTTTTAGGCATTAAAATCTGCATATTTGATAGGCCTTAAACATGAAAGTAAAACATCTCCAATTATGAAAGCAGAGATGTCGCCAAACTTGTGCTAATCATTCCGGTAGAAATTTAACACTTTGACTGCCAAAATTCTGATCAGGAAGTGTCATTCGTTTTCAGGTGACTATTCTTCGAGAACTGATGAGGTAAAGTAGGTATTTGAAAAAAATGATTGTTGATTGCTGAAAGAAACGAAAATTATTCTTGCCGACAGCCAAATTCTTTCTGTTCACTATGTAATATATGATCAGTAGTTTCTGCACCTCATTTATTATGACTGCGTTTATCAGTATTCAGATCAGAATCTTTTGTTTTTATTTCCAATGTTTAGGCAAAAAATTACAAAGAACTAAAACTGAGAAACTACCCTACTGCATACTATCCCATGAAAGACAAGTCTCAGTTATTAATAATTTTCATCACATTTTTCAAAATGTGATGAAAAGCAGAACTTAAATCCTTTTTTATGAAAATTAAACTGGCTTATTAAGAATTAATTGGGTTTACGTAAAACCAAGGCAAAATTCTTATTGTGTTGTGATATCACGCTTATCCATTTTTGGTACTAAATCACACTGCTTGTCGATAAGGTATACATGCTAATAATATAACGAGTTCTGTAATAGTCTCATTTTCTGTCTCTGTTCTGTAAATCTCGCATTTTAATTTTTTTTGGGAGAAAAATGTTTTTTTTTTTTTTTTAATTCTAAAATATTTTATTTGATCATTTTGATGGATAGTTCTCCTGTTGCTGTACTTTATAAGTTATATTCATCTGATTCATTGTGATTTATGCGCTAGGTTTGTTTATATCAAAAGTTTGGAATGTTTTAAAAGGTCAGTTTAAATTTTTTAGGTGTTTATATGGTTATTTTACAACATTAAATCTTGTAAAATTCATTCAGGTATAATATGCAGATTTGGACGGCAGTTTGGTTAAACTAATGTGTAACTAGACATATTCATTCACTGTTGTTATCAATTTTGCTAAAGTCTTAGTACAAAAAAAATTTTTTTTTGTTTCATATGTTTTCAGTGCAAGTTTTTTTCTTTCTTTCTTTTTTTTTTTTTTTTTTCTTTTTTTTTTTTTTCTTTTTGTAGTTGACACACCAGATATAGGATTTATACAGTAGTTTAGAAAATACTGCTATCTGTTATTCATATATTGTAATGTTAAAACTGAATGCGCACATGTGACATATTGTGAGCTTTTATATGTATTTATTATCTAAATTTTAATTATGAATAAAGTTAATTATGAACAGTTTAAATACCGATTTCTCTTTGTGAGAATTTTACTAAAAAGAAGAAAATTGTGATTTTAATTTTTGAATTTGTTTTCCATATAAAATGTGAAATTAAGAAAGTTAGTAAAAGATTCTTGTATTCAGTAATTAATTTTCCTTATGAAATGATTTCCACTTTAAAAATTATATTTAAAGGCAATTGTTATCCTTTAAAAAATGAGATCTTTTCTCTGCCCCCCCCGCACAAAAAAAGGGAGGAAAGAATATTAGATAATTTTTGTTTTTTTCTTATTTCTCTTCACTGTATTTTTCAAGTTATTTTCAAAAAGAAGTACTGTTTATTATAGGTATTTAATTATATATTTAGGCACCTCGCTGGTCATTCGTACTATGTGCAGTAGGTCTTTTTATATACCAGACCTTAGATGCTTGTGATGGCAAGCAAGCACGAAGAACTGGCACAAGTTCGCCATTAGGAGAACTTTTTGATCATGGTTGTGATTCTCTTTCTACTGGTAAATTTAAATTTTTAGTTTATTTTGTGATAATATACACAATTTTAGAAATTTGATGTTATGTAATATTTTAAATGAAATAGAAATGTGCAGACATGGTATGCCTGTTCAAAAATTCCCGATAGAAACTTCTAAAATTGCATGTGCATACAGTATCCAAATAATTCTTGAATTTTATAATCTACTTCTTAATATTTATCATTGCATTAGTCAAACCTTACCGCTATTTAATTTCTTAATTTGTATAAATTAAAGTGTTATTGTAGTTTTATAGCAAATTATGTTTTTGTAATATTTTTATTGTAAACTGTTCTTTTATAAGTAAAAGTTGCTTTTAAGAAATTGTGTGTTGGAGCCGGAGCCTGCCTTAGTCAGGCACAGAAACTAAGGGGGGAGAAAGAGATCATTAGGGGGGCAAATCGAATAGAAAGTTTATTTTATGTTTCCTTCCTTTAATGAACTTTTTTTAAACAAAATATTAGTACAGTGTAAAATCTGTCAGTTTTACATTAGCTTCTTCATTAATCTATTGTATGAACACAAAAGATCTATATTTCGTAAATCCATGGCTTTCTAGGGCGGAATTCAGCTAAATTTTGGTAATTATGATGGACAAATTTGGCCAATGAAAAGCCTGTATGTTTACAAAAATACAGCCTTCTGATTAGCTTAATTGAGCCATCCTAATTGCAAAAATTTAGCTGAATTCCACCCTAATGTCAGCAAGGATATGAATTTTTTGCAGCTAGATGACAAAGTTAACAATCAGAATACTGCATTTTAGAAACTTGTGAAAAGTTTGCAAACTGTAGCGATATGATTGTTAACTAGCTCATCTTAATCGCAATTGCTTCCTGTTCAGTGGATTCTGTTGGATTTTCGCAACACTGAGAAATCACAATAATCAATTATAAGTTATATTTTCTCAACATTCTCACAAAATGCCAAATATTCTTTTGATTAATTAATTTCATTTGCAAGACTGTGAAAATCTACCTGGATCCCTTCCCAAATATCGATTAGTGATGACTGCAACCGGGGTACTTCGAGTTAAGACTAAGAGTGTTTCTAGTTTTAAGTTTAAATAGCATTTTTAATTAATTAAGGAAAAATACCATAGACAAGTTCTATGCACTAAATAGTGTTTTTTTTTTTTTTTTTTTATGCATGCCGAATAAGTCTTCAGAGCATAAGTGCATCTGGTTCTGCCTGGATTTATAATACTATTATGACAAACAAGAGGCAGAACCAGATGCACTTATGTTATGAAGACAATGTGGCATGCATCGAAAAAAGCTTTTTAACATATTTTCCAAATGAATAGGACTTGTCTATGGTATTTTTCGTTAATTACCGTATTTACGCGAATCTAATGCGCATCGTTTTTTGGCCAAATGTAGTATTCAAAATTGGGGTGCGCATTAGATTCGATGGCGCATTAGATTCGCATAAATACGGTAAGTTTCAGACAACAACATACCGTATTTATGCGAATCTAATGCGCCATCAAATCTAATGCGCACCCCAATTTTGAATACTACATTTGGCCAAAAACGATGCGCATTAGATTCGCGTAAATACGGTATTTCAAATTGCTAAAAAAAGTCTTTACATTTTCTAATTATAAATTTAAAAAGAATTTTTGTGAAATTTTGGCTGTTCAGATGTGCTATATACTTTTAATTTTGGACATAGAATTGTCAGATAATCAATGTAATGGACAGAACGATATTTCTTCTGACCATTGGGTTGGATGGGGGGACTTTATAGCTATTTTAGGTTCTAGTCAATTTTCTTGTTATATATCTATAATGAGGTGAAACATTTAAATACTTCCGTAAAGTTCGGTCCTTCTTTTCTAAAGCAGAGGGTGGCCCCCAAAGACGTTTTTGCCCTGGGCCCTAGTTAGGCTAAGTTGGGTAGATCGGCGACAGCGTCTACAACTAACTTAGAATCATGATTAATTAGACAGCAGTTGAAAATTGCACAACAAAAAGATGATAGCATGTTATAATTAACAGAAAATGTTATTATAAATTTACATGTTCTTTAATTTCATGAGTAAGTTTATTTTATTATGTAAATTAAAGCAGTATTCAAAATGTAAAACCGGTGTTTTTGTTTATTTAATTTTTGTATTTAAATATCAGTCAATGAGAAACAGAATATTAATGGCTGTACAATTATTTTTTGCTACTTAGCAGTATATTTTTAATTGAGGATTTAACATTATATATATGTAGATAGATAGGTACTTTTTGATTATCCACTTAACTTTCCCAAAAAGTTGGTGACCTAATTTTTTGGCAAGATTGGGAAAAAAACAGCCATTTTCAAAAATAGTGGTGCTCTAAGAATTACGTAAAACAGCAACCAATTAACTAAATTAAAAATGTAAGAAATATCCATGATTAAATATATACTTTTTTTCTGCTTTTCTCCTGATGTACACAGCAATCTGTTTTGGCTTTTAGTAGTATGTTGTATGATCCTGGTATAATTGTTGAAATTGTTTTGCTTGTTCAGCGTGCAAAATAGTGATAGAGTAAATGGAATCAGGGTGTTTGGAGGGATGAAAAAGTATCTGACTGGTTCTCTCCCCCATTAAAGAATGAAGAAACTTTTCTCCAACTTTAAAAGAAACCTAAAGCAGGGTTCTGTAATTGTCTGAAATTGCTGAAAGACGTATATTTGTCTTCGAGATGAAGGTTTTATTCACCTTTCATTTATCAATAATACAGAATTGGCAGCCCAGAAGTTATATTTTAATCAAGTGTATATAAATGATGTAAAACTTCAGTACAAAAGAAATGAAATTAAAAAAGCAAAAATTATTTATTCAACTCACTTCAGTTTGTTTGTAAAAGAACATGGAATCTTAATTCTAAACTTCAGTCTTTTAAGTTTACTAGGGATTAAAGTGTATTTATTATAGAGCGTGTTATTACATAATTTGTAAATCCTTATCCCATGCTGCCACCTGCAATGAATAATTTGAGTAAAATTATTAAAGTACCTATTTATAGGGGATTATCGTAGTGTAATTAAAGACCCCATCTCCAGGGCTCACATAAACTCCATTGATGGTTTGTGAAGCTCCATGAGAAGATCTGTCTATGGATGTCACATAAGAAACAATTTGATTATTATCCTCCCGAGTTTATGTGTCACAAGATCCATAAAAATAATCTTCAAGAGTAGCTTTCAAGAGCATGAATAATGTTCATCCTGCATTGAATAAATAAATAAATCCTACCTTCCAAAAAATTTTTTAAAAATGAAAATTAACCTGAAAAAAAAAAAAAAGAGAGAGAGAGAAAATAAACAGAAATGGAATTAGAAAACAAAAAGGAGAAAAATAAAAAAAAGTAAAAACCTTAAGTCAAAAAAAAAAAAAAAAAAAAATACAAAAGAAGTATTTCTTGAAAAAATGTTTTACTTTTTTTTTGGTATCATATGCTCTTTGTGTAATAGCATTAAAATTAATATTTAAAATTTTTAAAGTGTGTTTAGTGTGTTTTGATATGTTAATGATTTTCACCATTTTACCAGAACTGTAAATAGTTTATTGATTTTTTTTTTTTTAAATTTACCATAATTACCAGCCTGCAGCTGTTATGTAATTTTTACCGAATAGTGTTTGAGTTATGGCATGAAACCAAATTTATTGTTTACATATATGTATGTACAGGGTGCTTGTTTTAAAAACTGATGCTACTCAGAGCCATCTGTAGTTCGATTTATCAGCTGAAATTTTAATTTATGGTGAGCATTATCTATATCTTTCAGCAGCAGTGGCCTGACATCTTTTCTTATTAATTAGATTCAAGAGATTTCCTTACTTAAGGAACATTAAAATGAGGCGAGCTTTTAATTCAGAATGGCGACTGCACGTGGCGACCATGGAGAAAGAATTTCACAGAAAACAAGCCTAAAAACATGAGGTGATAGTGAAACAATACGAGTGAGATTCAAATGCATCTTCACACTCAGAATTTTATGAATCTGCCTCGTCTATTCTGTACTGTACTTATAAAAGATAACTATTATGTGTAAATTTCCATCCGAGACAAATATGGATCTTTGGGTACTACTTACCATGTGCTGGGCTAGATAAGAGATTGCCCTTCCCCACAGCTAATCAAGGGCCAAAAATGAAAATATAATTAACTAGCTGGGAGGTATTTAAAGGTGAATCAGTATGCAGAATGATCAAGTGCACTTGATGTTTCTCAGCAGTAAAAACCTCAGCTAATTTGAAGAAGTAATGATTTATGTTATTTTTACTTTTTCGTAAGTATCATGTACTTGAAAAGAAAATTTATTTGAAAAAAAAGGGGGGTGGAGTTGGATATCAAATCATTCCTTTTTTTTTTTTTTTTTTTTTTTTTTTGAATTTATGCTGCATTATGTGAAAAACTTCAGATCTCATCACTGTATGTCATAATGAAGTTTAGCTGCTATAATATTTTATTAAAATGTGTTTGTTTTTAATTTGTAGTATTTGTGGCAATTGGAGTTTGTGTTGCAGTCCAGTTGGGGACTTTTCCATCATGGATGTTTTTCCAGTGTTTTACTGCTATGACACTTTTTTATATTGCACATTGGCAGACATATGTGTCTGGTACACTGCGATTTGGCAGGTAAGTTTATTTAAAAAATGACTTTTTTTTTTTTTTCAAATAATGCATTTTGTTTTTAAAAGAATTTTTTAAGCAATGCGAGTTCAGAAATGTATGCTAGAAAATTTTCCATACTTGTTCTTACAAAAATTATGTTAGTTAAAAAGATTGGGAAGGACTGATTATTCAGATTTGTATTTCAGTTGATTTATGTAAAGTTAAAAATATTAGTAAACCGTAAATGCAGTTGTCATAACTTTCAACTGTATCATATCGGTCAAAATGCTTTATTTTTATAAATGATAATGCTTGTTATAGTTTGCATACTTTTTCAAAGCACATTGCTTCAGTACATCATATTCAGATAAGATGTTAGGTTTACAAATGATTTACCGTTTTAATTATTTTAAATATCTCATTAATAAACTATGCTTGAAAATTATGGTGTTTGTCTTTAAATGCATTAAAAGCCCACACTGCATTTACAATGCATAGTTAACTTCATTTATTATGGTACAGTCAAAAGTCGTTAATCCGGACTCGTCGGGACTTCGGCGATTCCGGATTATCGATTTTTCCGGATTATAGATCATCAGTTTAAATCTCGTAAGATGGCATGCAGAAATTCTAAAATTAAAAATATGAAACCGTAATTTATGAAATAAAGAACAATTATGATCTAAAGGGTATCAAAATTTGCAAAAAGAAAAAGCTTAATATTTATTTGTTTACTTTATTAAACATTTCTTTCAATGTAAGTTGTTTAAGTTTTGCTTCGTTTCATGTGATAATACTTTCTCTTTAATTCTATTAAACAGACATAATTTCTTGTTCAATTACAAAGTTCCGCTGTTCAAGTCCTATAATTGCTGTGTCTAGAACACCGATTAATTTGTCAATCGAAATTTTTTCGTTTTCAATAACCTCTGTCACTTTCTTCGCTATGGAAAGCGAATTATAATGACGAGGAACTTGTTTTAAATCATATCAAAGACGGAGCATATCGAGATGAAATACTACATTTGGTAAGGAATTATAAGCCAAATAAAATAAAAACATCTGCGCTGAAGATAAGGATAGTGTTGACAGATCAACTTCCAATTCATTACGCGCCCGCCGCGGCGATCCCCTCCCCCCCCCCCCCCCGAGCAGCGTGAAATTGATAAACAGATTTCGGATTTCAAAACGTACTTTCGCTTTAGATCCTGTACATATTAACAAATATATATCGGAAATTCTATTTGATATAATCGAAAGTTTAAGCTTACTTTTATAAAATTGCTCTTACAGTCTGCAAAAAATAATAAGCCGGATCCAATTCGAAAATTAAGGAACCACGCAATCATCAACATTAACTGAAATAGATAATTAGATAATTTTAGCTTATACGTCCATTATACATAAAACGCGCATGCGAAAACGTATTCTGCACTTGCGCACACTCATATGTGCAGTCGTAAAAGGTCTTACACGCACGCGTAAACGCCTATGCGCATGTGTGAACGCGGCGCATGCGCAGAAAGTTTTTAGTTTTGAGGTCCGGATTATAGATCATTCCGAATTATGGGTGTCCGAATTAACGACTTTTGACTGTAATGTGGTAATATGTCTGTCGTCAAATAAGAGAAATTTCGGTGCCTCTCCGTTTTGCCGGCACAAGCGATAAAATCGCCAGTAATGGTACAACCGATCCCAAACAAAATATCCTCACTGGTAACCTTTTACTTTAACTTTTGCATTTTCAAAAAAGTCACAGCCATTTTTTATCAGATTGATTGTTTCTTTAAATACTGTCATACAATTACATAGAATTTTTACCGGATAGTTCAATTTTATGCCCTAAGACCATTCGCGGGCGGTAATTAAATCAATTAGGATGCAATCACTCCGCTCACCCGATGGCGAAAATATACGAAAGGCAAAGTCAAGAGTTAAGTTCATCAATTCTAATTAGAATGCAGTAGCGAAGTAAAGTACTGCAGTTTTACAAAATTTCTGAGTGAGCTATTCCTACGAATTGAAATAATTCTGGCATTTAAAGTTGTATTCCAAATTAAGTTTTAACTTCAAATTAATGTAGATAATTACTGAAAAAATTAGATTTTTGTAGCGTAGTTTACATTAGATGAGATCACTTGGCGTCATGTGATATGAACCGGCGAACCAGGATGTTGTACAATGAAAGCATAGTAAATTCTTAAATTGTCTTTTTACAAATTTATTATCTTTATTTATTGGCTTTTTTAACAAAATTTTAATCGACATTAAAATGTTTATACCTTCAAAATAAAAAAATCTTAGAACTAACATTTGTCAACTTCTTTTATGTGTATACTATGTGTTTTCGCCAATATAGTCTGCTTGGCGAGATTTTTGCTGGTGAAATGGAAAAGTAGCGAACTTTCTCTTTTATTTTTCGTATTTTTATAGCAATATCAGAAAAGCTAGAAATTACGCTAAAGTTAATATTAAGAAATTTTCATCAGCCAGTCATATGAATGCCACCACCGGCTGAGCAGTAAAGTTGCTGAAAAGTTCATTCTGAGGTTTGAACCACATTGTAAATAGGATAGTTGTTCGGGCACTTTCATGATTTTCCTGTGTAACGTGTAAATGAGCTAATTTCCCTTAAAGTCTTCCATGGAGGCATTCCTCCTCTTAGGCAGATAGTCCTCGAGTGCTTTGCCATAGTTAAATAAACAAAACCAAACCAAGCTTCAAAATGCCAGATTTGGTAACCTGCTTATTTCATGATTGTATTCATTCAGTTTAGAAGTTATCATTCATTTATTTATTTGAGGGGAAAAAAAAGTATGAATTATATGATTAGCCAGTGCAAAATGGAGAAATAGACATCTGTGCAGCACTCTCCTCTGTCCCATAGTTTTCTATTTATTTTATTTTATGTCACATTGAATGTATAAAAGAAGACACGTGTTTGGCAGTATTAAATGAAGCCTCGTATGTAATCTGAAATTAATGTTGAAAAACCCATACTTTTGTAAATTTTTGTATTTATTTTGAATTGAGTTAAATTATTAGTCTTTTCATAAAACTGTACTTAATTAAGGTTGCCTAGTCACATTTCGTGCCAACCTTTAGATCTGGTACTAAGTGCTGCACTGTTAACAGAAAAATACCATAAATTCTAGGTATATTATATTTAATTTGTTTAAAACTTGTAACCAAAAAGTGCATAGGTTGATCCAAAAGTTTTCAGCATGATATCATTTCTAAAATAAATATTTATTGTTATTCGTTTTTAGAAATAGCATCAGGATATTTTTTTCAGAAGTAGTTAGTAATAGTACCCCTCAATTTAATTTTCTTGTACTGTTCGTTCACCCCACTTTTCACATTATTTAATGCACAAATCTGTGCTCCTGGGAAAAAAAAGTTTGTCCTCAAAATATCCTACAACCACATTTTTCATGCCATCGTCATTGCTAAATATATTTTTCATTAAGTTAGGATTTCAGTTTAGAGAACAGATGATTATTACTTGGAGCTAACTTTAGGCTGCTTAAACCCATATGTGCAGGAGCATTATCATAGAGAAGACACATTCTGCAGCTCAGTATTTCATAACTTTTTATGTAATTTCATTGTGCAATCTATGTAAAATGATTGCATAATATTCCACATTAGGTATGGCATTCTCTGCTATTGCCATTCTGGTTATGTTTCTTTAAAATCTATCAGAAAATGCTTTTGCTGCCGAAAAAATAGTCAATATCTTACTGCTGATTGCTACAGTATTAAGATTCTAGTTGAATTGAGTGTCCTTAGAAAGTAGAATACTTGGAGAAGTGTGTAGCAACTCCTCACTTACCTCTTAAAACTGCAAAACTCTTCTTGAAAGTCCAAGAAAGGGTTAAAATATCCTTTTATTTTCATGGCCTCTGTTGGGCTTAAGATAGAAAAAAAGAAACTAAAGGAATTCTAATTCACTAAAATTTAGCTGAAGCTGTATATAAATAACTAATCGAGTTGGCCCTTACTTAAACCTCATCGGCGAATAGCAACGGGCATGTTACAATAAGGTCGAATTTGGTAAGAACTAGCTTAAAGCAACAACATGAACAGAAGGCAGAATGCCCTCTGCCGAGAACTTCTGAACTCTTCTATGGAAGTGATCAAGACTTCCCATAAATACTGATTGTACCTCATTTACATAGAACACGATACTGAAAACTCATTCTGCAAGGGAGTTGTAGGTGGGAAACAGAATAAAGGAAAAGTTTTCAAAATTAAAAATAACTATTAGGAAATTAAAATAACCCCTACAACACCTTTCTTTGGAACTACTCTTATGTACACCCATGGTTGGCGACAAATTTCTTGCCAAAAATATTTGGTGAGAAACTCCATGGCGCCATATTACTATCTAAATTTTTTTGTCTACATTTTGAACTTTAAGCCTAAAATGTCTGCAAAAAACGCAGTTTTCAACACGCAATTTAAGCCAAAAATCTGAAACAAAAACAAAAAATTTAGATAGTAAAGTTTCTAACCAAAAATATTTGACAAGAATCCATATACACAGTGATCTTTTTTAACTTAAAAAAAAAAAAAAAAAAATTGCACAATCTATGCAGCATAGGAATCTAGAAATTATGCAGACCTCGCTAAAATAAACTAATATAACAGCAAAAAATTTCAAACAATAAAATATACAGAGCGTTCTGTTTTAACTTAAAGAAACATTAGCGAATAGCACTATCTAGGCATCGTGCACAAATCAACAAAATAAACTAAAATAATTAAAATAAATTACAAACAATTCAAAAAACAGTAATAACGACAGAAGTTCATAGCAGAAAAACAATCAACATAACATTCTATAAAATAAAAACAACAACAAAATAAAATGCACTTAGCATTGTGAATGCTTCTTCAAACAGGAGAAATATCAATTTCAAACATCAGCAAAACTCGTCAATTTCCACCACTCGATCATCCCCCCTATCTTCTGATATACAGAGCATACAAAGTCCAACATACAATTGTGAATAAAATTCCGTCAGTCACACAACGTCTGTGAACAAAAGTGCCACGATTTTTCTATATCGCACGTCTTTCTGCGATCAAAATTTTTGAGAGTAACGATAAAAACTTCCTCCAAAGTTAACTTACTACACGAAAACCATGATCTAAATCTTGAATTTTGCTGACAGCCATAAGCTATTTCAAAATGTCCATCAAACCAACCAGCAAATAAAACCATTACAGTAAAATCAAAGTTTCAACGTCGAAAGGGTTGCCATACAAACAACATCGCTCCAAAACCCATCGCAGAACACACAATTGTGCCAAAAACCAGCGCAGAACATGTATCGCCACAATTAGTGACCTGAGGGCATATATAAGAGTAGTACTCTTTCTTTTCTTGATTGTGCTTCTGCTAGTTTTCTCCACTGATTCCTTCTTTGATCGAGGATCATAGTAAAGATCCATTGTTTAATCACCAGTAAAACATTTCTCTTATATTAATATAATATATAATCTCTTATAGTAAGCTGTAATAACTGTTTGCAGCAAATGACACATTGCTGTTTTTGAATTGCTGAAAGAAGCTGATGTATGTATCATGTAGGTACTTAGTTCACATGAAGATGTTTATGTAGAATTTGCAAAACAGTTGTTTTAGAAAGATCCAGTCTTGCTGCTGTCTTCCTGACTTTTAAACTTTTATCAGTCAATATTTCATTCTTTTCACAAGCCAAAACATTATAACCACCTACTCAGTAAAGTGTTCTGCAACCTTTGGCCTGCAAAACAGCTGCAAATTGCCTAGGCTGGGATGCCACAAGTTTTCAGTATATGGCTAAAGACAAGTGTACCAAATATATAAGCAGCAGTTACACAAAGCCGAGATATTCCAGCATGCTGGTGTTTGAGCTCTGAGCTGCTGCTCAATGACATCCCAAATGTATGCTAGATGGCCAGGACATTAATTGGAATTCATCCTCCTCGAACAACTCCAATACGGTTTGAGCCTTTTGACATGGGGCATTGTCTTGCTGGAAGCTTCCATTTGGGTTCCATTTCCAAATGCCATGTGAGGATGTAACTTGTCCGCAGCTTTCCTGGTTTGTTCTACTACAACTAAGGGTCCCAGACCACCCATGAGAATGTTTTTCAAAGCATAATGCCGTCCCTGTGTATGATCTGCTGTAGAAGAGGGGGGGGCAACTGTTCGCTTGGAAAGACAGTGTACTCTGACGTGATGAATGAGAAATATGCGATTCATTTGACCAAGCAACTCTCTTCTGCTTTTCCATGGTCCAGTCTCGATGTTCTTGGGCCCACTGTAGGCATAGTTGACACTGAAGCTTGGTCAGCAGAGGCACTTGATAGAGCAGAGGCACATCTGCTGCACAACCCCATATCCAACACAGTCCGCTGAACTGTGTGTTGTGAAACACTTGAACTTGGATCTGTATTGTGTTGGGCTGCCAACTGAGCCACTGTCTGGTGCTAATTATGCGTGACTGAAGTGGGATAATCTCTGACTTTCTTTTTTCTTTGATGATGCATTGATGTCCAACACCTTGGTGTCTGCTGCTGGTTTCACCATTATTTATCCACTTTACATAAATGCTAACAATGGCAGATCATGAACAACTACCAGTCAGGCAGGGAGATACTATTCCAAGTCTTTGGGCTATTACAATCTAATCTGCCCTCTATCAAATTAGCTTAGTTCAGCAGCCTTTCCCATTATTCGCAAATGTAAGTGCGAGAACGATTCCTAACCTTCTCCTGCAACAGTTAAATATAATTCCCACTTAATCACGTGCTCTCCATGTCATCCAGACGAATTCATTGAAAAATGTAGGGATATTTATCCACTTTACATAAATGCTAACAACGGCAGATCATAAACAACCTACCAGTCAGGCAGTGAGATACTTATTCCGAGTCTTTGGGCTATTACAATCTAATCTGCCCTCTATCAAATTTGCTCAGTTCAGCAGCTTTTCCCATTATTCGCAAATGTAAGTGTAAGAACGATTCCTAACCTTCTCCAGCAACAGTTAAATATAATTCCCACTTAATCACGTGCTCTCCATGTCATCCAGACGAATTCATTGAAAAATGTGGGGATATTTATCCGCTTTACATAAATGCTAACAATGGCAGATCATAAACAACCTACCAGTCAGGCAGTGAGATACTTATTCCGAGTCTTTGGGCTATTACAATCTAATCTGCCCTCTATCAAATTTGCTTAGTTCAGCAGCTTTTCCCATTATTCGCAAATAAAAGTGTGAGAATGATTCCTAACCTTCTCCAGCAACAGTTAAATATAATTCTTCTTAATCATGTGCCCTCCATGTCATCCAGACGAATTCATTGAAAAATGTGGGAATGGTCATAATGTTTTGACTCGTCAATGTATTTTCTGATATCAATGCCTCCAGTGGTTGACCTTTATGAGAATCACACCTACATAAATGTTAAGTGTAAATGTTTTATTTAGCAAATAATTATTTAATTTTTTTGTATAGTTATTATTTATTCATTATATATATTTAGAAAAAATATTTATTTCAAATTTGACTGCCTATTTTAACATCTTTTTCACCTATGGTTTTTAAAGGTAATACATTATCAATTATGCTTTGAGTAGAAGGCTTGTGTTTTAATTTATATATTAATTTTAAGGTTTATATTCCAAACTCTTTCATTTTTTGATTTTTTTAATTGATGTGAAGTGAAACAAATAATTTATTGTTTTTATAAAAAATTATGTGGATAGAAAAATCCTTTTTAAAATTGAAATTCCAATATATTTAAGATCATTTCTTAAAATTTCGTTTTTTGTTACAGATTTGATGTTACTGAAGCTCAGTATACAGTCATGTTGATACACATGATATCGGCTGTATGTGGTCCTTCAGTTTGGGCAACTCGTGTGAGTATCTTAAATGTATTATAATAAAAAATTCAATATTGGTAAAACTGTGTTAAAAATCTAATAGTTGTTCTATTTGTTGTTATATTATTTAATGATTAATTCTTTGTCAGTGATTAATCAACAACAGTCTCATTTAACTTATTTTTCATTTCAAATTCTATAGAGTATTAATGTATTTATAAAACAATGAACTTTCAAAAAGAAATAAAAGTTCTGACTGAGAAAAGATTAAAATATAAAAAAGCTATCGTTGGCTTAGCTGAAAAATTGAAAATAGTGTCTTATAATTGTAATAATAATGTAATACAGTCAAAAGTCGTTAATTCGGACACCCGTAATCCGGAATGATCTATAATCCGGACCTCAAAGCTAAAATCTTTCTGCGCATGCGCCGCATTGACGCATGCGCATAGGCGTTTTACTCGTGTGCGCAAGACATTTACGACTGCACATATGCATCTGCGCAAGTGCAGAATACGTTTTCGCGTGCGCGTTTAATGTATGACGGACGGTATAAGCTAAAATTATCTAATTATCTATTTCAGTTAATGTTGATAATTGCGTTGTTCCTTAATCTTCAAATTGGATCCGGCTTATTATTTTTTGCAGACTGTAAGAGCAATTTTCTAAAAGTAAGCTTGAACTTTCGATTATGTCAAATAGAATTTCCGATGCTGGAGCTCCCAAAGGATCTAGAAGATCTGTCAACACTATCCTTATCTTCAGGGCAGATGTTTTTATTTTAGTCGGCTTATAATTCCTTACTAAATGTAGTATTTAATTTCGATGTACTCCGTCTTTGATATGATTTAAATCAAATTCCTCGTCATTATAAATATCACGAATACAAATCACATAGTTTTCTGGTTGCAATTTTCTAATTTCGGCTATGAGTAAGGTATGCTTTACGCCATCCGCGCGTTAAAAGAAATGTTTAATAAAGTAAACAAATAAATATTAGGCTTCTTTTTGGTAAATTGGATACCCTTTAGATCTAATTGCTCATTATTTATAAAATACGGTTTCATATTTAATTTTTTATAATTTCTGCATGCCATCTTACCAGATTTAAACTGATGATCTATAATCCGGAAAAATCGATAATCCGGAATCGCCGAAGTCCCGACGAGTCCGGATTAAAGACTTTTGACTGTAGCAATAAAGAAATATGATTGCATATAATTGTCAGATAAAATAATTTTAAGATGTTGGGTTTATGGGGGGAAAATAGTGTATTTAGAAAAGATAAATATATCTGAGTTTATAAATTTGAAATTAGTAAATTTTGGATAGACCTTGAATGCTTAATAATTTTACTTTTCTGAAGAGCATACAAAATTATGAAAAGTTTTTTTTTCATTTTGTCTGGACTTTCATATACTTAGATTTAAATATAGCTTTCCAGGGATTCTTCTTTGAAAATGTAATTTTTCTTTGTTAAGTGAAATTAGATGCAAATTATATTCATATTAATATTAATTAAGTTATTTAATTTTTTAGTTATTTTTATTCTGCTCTAAAGTATTTAGCCTGTTAACAATTTCAGTTTTAATCTCTTAATATGCTGGAGATAATTTACACATTCTTTTGCTTTTTAAAACTTTTTCACCTACTTTGTTTTGCATAAATATTGTTTTAAACTTTAACGAATGCTTGAGAATCATAGACTAATTTTTGATCTCATATATTTTGTTTTATGCTACAGTACAAAATTTATAATAACATTGAAATTTAACAATGAGTTTTTAAAATTTAATAGTGGTATTAATTTTAAATACTTTTTGTTAGTTTTACACATGCTCTAATTTGATAATTCACTTTGCATTCTGCATGTGATGTATTTGTTGTTACAAAAATTTAATCTGCTGCATATATCGGGGAATGCATTTATTTATTTTTTATTGGGTTGTTTGGGAAGTAATTTCATTTTTTCTCTCCAACAAAGGGCGTAAATGTATTTTTTTCACAGAAACAAAGTCACATACTTATACACATATGTAAGCCACATAATTATCATACATTTTGATAGCTGATATAGCAAGGCTTGCTTATGAAGAATATCCATTTATTCTATGCAGTAGTTTTTGGTTGGTGCCCTTTCAAATATGGAAAGTGACAAGCAGTGTTTTCTCCATATTTTACTTTTTACCATCAGAAAGGTAAAAATGCTGTTCAAGCAAGAAAAAAATTATCCTATGTGTATGGGGAAGATGGATTGACAGAACACCAGTGTCAAAACTGGTTTGCAAGGTTTCGATCTAGCAATTTTGACCTTAAAGATGAACCACAGTTTGGAAGGCCAGTTGAAAATGATGAAGACATTAATTGATGCAAACTGGCAAATAACAACCCATGAGATTGCTGAAAGATTAAATTTATTGAATTCGACTGTTCATAATATTTGAAATGCCTAGTTTTAATCTCAAAGCTTGACATACGGGTTTCTTGTGTTTTTCTGGAAAGAAATTTGTGCTGTCGCATTGACATTTGTGATTTGCTTTTCAAACATCAGGAAAATGATTCATTTTTGAAATGCATCATCCCTCGAGCTGAGAAATTAGTTGTCAACAACAATGTTAAAGATAATTGAGTAAAAAAATATGAACCAGCTCAAAACCCTTCGAAAGTTGATATTCATCAAAGAAAGGTGATGCTGTTTGGTGAAATTTCGAATGAATTTTTTTTTTTTTTTTTTTTCTTTATCGGCCTACACAATGATAAATTCTGAAGTGTACTGTCTTCATCTGGACAAATTGAATAATTTCATTTAAACAGAAAAAGTCGGAATTGGTCAATAGAAAAGGTATAGTGTTTAACCAAAATAATGGGATTGGATTATTCAATTATGGCAAAGCACATGAGGGCTATCTGCCTAAAGGGAGGAATGCCTTTGTGGAGGACTTTCTAAGGGAAACTGGCTCATATACACATTACACATGGGGAAAACCACGAAAACACCCGTGCAGCCAGCCCATTCGCGGGATTCAAACCTTGGACCGAACTACCAGTGTTCAGCGTCTTTACTGCTCGGCCGCTGGTGGGCTCCACAAAATAGTGGGAGATCTTGTAGAAGTTTAGTAACTCGCCAAAAGCTTTTACTGCTTGGATGGGATGTACAGCCATACCCACCATATTCCCCAGATCTGACACCTTCTGATATTATTTGTTCCGGTCTCTACAAAATTTTTTAGATGGTAAAACCTTTACTTCAAATGAGGAGGTCAAAAATCACCTGGATCAATTTTTTGCCAGCAAAGAAAAAAAAAATATGAGCATGGAATTATGCTACTACCAAAAAAATAGCAAAAGATATTGGATCAGAATGGACAATATATAATTCAATAAAATATTTATTCATTATAAGAAAATCTTCATTCATTTCCATAATAATAATTAAAAAAAATTACTTTGCGAACAACTCAATTCCTGAAACAAAAATTTATCTTTTTGTGAAATTTTTATAACTTTTTCAGTAAAGCTATATCACTTATTTCCAGTTCATTTGTGCTTCTTTTCTTGTGACTTTGGCTTTCTACGAGAGGTTTTTCTTCCCAAACCTTTTCATTTAATTTTTCAGCTTTTTTTTCGGGTGGGGGGGGGCTTAGTTTCATATTTGAAACCTACTTCCAAAAAGAGGAGAAACATAAAAACGAATACAGGAAAAGGGATAGTTATATTAATTTTATCTGTATAAAGCTAAATGAAAATAACAATAGTTAATAATCATTGCAATAGAAGAGGAGTGTGGGAAAGAAATGTGGGATCTGGCAAACCATGTATGTGTTTGGCTGACCTTTTTCCTCAGCATTAGCAAAAGATGTATGGCCATATTGGTTTTGCATCGCATTTTAATTTCATGAGGTAGTATTTGAACACAATCTTTCTTTGTGAAGAATACCTTTTTCGTGAAGAAAAGAATAGCTGCTTGTTCATCTCTTGACAGATTCCAAATCGTGAAATCCATCGCAGTAAAAAAAAAGATATGGTGTGGCCAGCATTTGACCTCTCATCAATTTTATGTTTCAAATAACAAGAATTTTAAGTGAAGTATCACTTCCAGTTGATCAGTTATAAATAAAATCTAATTTGTTGTTTGAATAAGTAGAAAGGTCTGTATTATGAATTTTGGGATTACATTTTATTAGGTTTATTTTTATTAACAGGTTTTCCTGAATTTTTATTTTTTTATTTCTAAGTTTCTTCTTTTTTATTCTAAAGTTTAGCTTTAAACTTTACTTCTTCCCTCGTGTGATTTTGCTTTGTTAAAAAAAAAAAAAAGAAAAAGAAAAAAAAAAAAAAGGTTATTGCATCTAAAAGCACTACAGAGTGGCATTTTTGAAACTTGAAACCATGCTTCAAATGAAATTAATGTTTTTCGAATGTGATTGGTTATCTCCAGTTGAAATCTGAATATAGCAGAACCAGTCATTTGACAAACCTGCCTGCCAAAGTCTTGTTATAATGATTCTATACTTTTTCATGAAAATCTCTTTAGAGTTCTAAGTAAAATACCATTTCCAGCTTATCATACATAATCAAAGTCTAATATATTGTTCTCAATCATATACAAATTTTTAATACCAAATTAAGAAGTTTTGGATCATAATAATTTTTTGTCATGAAAATCTCTTCAGAGCATCAAGTAAAGCATCATAAATTAACATTTCCAGTTTATCAGTTTTAGCCAAATTCTAATATGTTGTTCTTGTCATCCTATATAAATGTCTTAAATACTAAAATTGAAAAGTTTTGGATTATCTATACTATTAATATTTTATTAAAGTTCTTCATTAAAAACTGTTATTGGCTTCAAGTGAAGTACCACTTTCAGTTGTCCAGATTTTAGTGGTTTTAGGTGAGCTTATTGCGGTACGAAAAGCCCAGGTTTGAATCCCGAAGAAGGCATGGATGTTTTTAAATATACAGTGTCTTTGGGGCATGAGGGCACTCTAAATATATGGTGAGCTAAATGTTCTCTCCTGTGGTTTGGTGGTAGGGAAAAGGGGTGGGAGAGACCGCCAGGACTTTTCTTTCTCAAAACTGGGGTGGGAATAGAAGTCCAGCCTCCTTGAGGCTCTATTCTTCCATGAAATACGTGGACAAGACAACCTAAAATCTAATCAACTCTTTACATGAATGATGGAAGTTTAAGTGTGAAAAATAGAAAATTTTGGAAGCTTTATATAAGAGTTATTGTGGCACATATATACAAAGACAGACTGACATCATTGTAAGAGCATGTTATGAGGATCCTAATTTCTGCTTATCCACGTAAAACTTGCTGTTGAAATTTTAGACCAAAATCATTACCATCCTTACGTACATAGGTGGATCCCCCCCCCCAAAAAAAAGGTTATAAGCATCAGCATTTGAAAAGTAATTATTGTGGATAGAATACCTTTATCTCTAAAGTGCAGGCAGAGGGCACTAGTTGTCTAGCAGTTGTTGTGCAGGTAGGAGAGTAAGTTCGCAGATGCGTCAGAGTGGTTGAAATGGCAAGACACTTAGAAAAGTGGCCTCTCTTGGACAATGTTGTCCTGATCAAGTATCAAGAGAGTGACCATACCGTTACTGCTTATTGTTATTGTACTACTTAGACAAGGTTACATGAAGCCATCCGATGCAAGCATCCTGTTAAATGATGGTATCTGCATACAATGCCCAGCCCCATACTGCTCGGCAAACTTTTGCTGCAAAAGTGGGAAGTCTGGAGTCACCCCTAATGTAGCCTAGGTTCAGCAGCAATAACTGTTTCCTTTTTCCGAAATTGAAGGAACATTTATCTGGAATGAGGTTTTCTTCAGACAGTGATGTGAAAACAGCCACCAAGAATTAGCTCAGTGGGCAGGAATATGATTTCTACAAAGCTTGGTGAAGCAAGTTGATCCTGCATTCAGATAAATTCCTAAATAGACTTTATTATTGTGTGAAAAAATGATAGAGAAGTATGCCTCTTAAACCCCTTTTCGTATTTCCTGTCTATTGTAATTAAATAATTTTTTATTACCCTTGTAACCTTTTTTTTATCAACCCTCATAGGTATATAGGTTGGTGGGAGGTAAAAAAGGAAGGGATGGCTGTTGTGATTAGATGAAAAACATGCTTTTTCAGACTGATAATTAGAAAAACACAGGAAAGAAAAAAGGGGGGACCTGCCAGTGTCTGGTAACAAAGGAATATGCAAAAATAAACCAAGTTCCAGTTGGTATGGCTGTAATGCAAAAATAAACCAAGTTCCAGTTGGTATCGCTGTAATGCAAAAATAAACCAAGTTCCAGTTGGTATGGTTGTAATGCAAAGGTTCCAAATTTCTTAGCAATAAAGATTTTTAGTAAATCCTGCATCATTATAATTACCATAATGCAAAAGTAATTAAATCTGAGTTTTTTGTTAAGAAATTGCAAAGGATTTACTTACTTCCCTGAGAGAAATAGTCTTTATAAAATACAGTTTATAGTTTGTTGCTTTTGGTGAGGAATGTCAGAATGTTTGTATTTTGCACACTAAACTGCTATTGTGTGAAGTGGTCAAACTCGGGGAGGTAGTTTTTTTAATCAGAAGTTTTATATTGAATGCATATACAAATATATATATATATATATGTTGTATATAAAAATAATTAATATGTTATTAATTATTATAACAATTTAGTATTAATATTTGCTGCTATTAATTTTTTAAATCATGGTATAATAAAGACTATATTTTACAAAAGTTGCCTTAATTTTTTTGGCATGATTTCATAAATAGTAAGATAAAAAATGGTGGTTTATCTTTCTTACCCATTAATTTTTTTGGCAGGAAAAAAAATGGTTTATCTTTCTTATTCTTAAATTGATCTCTAAATTCATTGTTAAGATCTGCATCTATTTAATTATGTGACATATAGCAACCTGTATAAGAACAGCTGTATTTATTATTAATTATTTTATTTATACCTGTTATAGCGATTTGTTTTTAATATAAAATTGTTAAGTTATTCTTGGTGTATAAACTCTTGTTAACAGTTTTATAAATAATCCTTAATATTATTTAGTATATTGGCTTCATAACCGATATTGTGTTAAATAAACTTAATTTATTATTAAGTTATTGATAAAATGAGTTTAAAAGTAATCCATTATTTGATTTCAATAATCATGATTTTAAGTGGGAGTTTCTCATTGTCTTAAAATTTAGTATCTAATGTTCAAATTTTCCCTTTTGTGTTAGTACAAAGTATGATAAGTATACTAATATGCAATTGAAGTGATTTAGCAGAAAACCGCTGATCATTCTTTATTTAACCCGTGAGCATGCACTCTTCATATCAGTTACACGAGTGCGCACGCTGAGTCCAAAAGATCCAATTCGGGTTTTTTGAACAAAATATTGTAAATCTTCAGAAAAAGTGTTACATCTTTGCCCATATTAAATTTTTTGATCAAATTTAAAAACTATGCACATTAAAATTTTTAATTTCTCTAAATGCTTTTATGAAATAAAATTTCTTAATGGAATAGCAAATCCTATAAGCATAGGAAAAAATAGTATAACCTTTACTCTGTATCGATTCCTATTTTCTTTTTTAGCACTATTGACACAGAGAACAAATGCAACACCAAATGTTAGGACATTAAGAAAATATTTTCATGTGTTCCAAATACAACTATTTTTAACAATCATATCATCGAAGCACGTTTTTTTTTTTTTTTTTTTTTTTTTTTTTTCTGTGCTTTTTTGCAGGGCAAACACTGCATTCCCCCTTTTTTTGTTTCCGATAATTTTCCAATGAAACAATTTATGTCATTCTCACTCTCGTTTTCAGAATCTAGGTCAGTGTCTGAATCAGTATCATGTGGACTAAAAATTCATAATCACTTCCATCCTCATTTTCTTCAATACATTCTTCTCCACTTCGCCAGTTGATACATGTAATAACTTTTGCAAAATTTCTTCGTTGTAAGATAAATTACGACATGTTTGCCACTTTCTATACTATCACAAATCAAATATGTAATGGTAACATGAATAGACACACTTGGTCTAAAAGACCCGATGTGATCAAAATCAAGACTCTGAATCAAAACCCCAGCGAAAAAAGCTTTGAAAAAAATAAAGGGGCAGACCTAAGACATGACTACACTGGACCTCAACAACTTGTGAAAAATAAGCATGTTTTGAGAAAGATTTGTTTAATTGCATGGCTCAATTGGACCTAGTGTGCTTGCTCGTGGGTGAAACATATAAAATGTTTTTTAGATACTCGATTTATTGTTAAATAACAGTTAAGATTAGGAATTTTAAATTAACATGTTGATTGTAAAGCAAACCTGCAGCTGATGAATAATCTGCTAATGGAAAAATTACTGATGAATAAAATATTATTATCTGCTCATAGTTAGAAGCTTTCTTAATGAGCATAAATCATATTGTATAGCTATTCAAATTTTAAAATAATCAGTTATAAAATAGTAATAAATATTTTATTTGTAATTAATATGAAAAAGGTGCACATGCTTTGTTAATGAAATGTTAAGTGCTTTAAAAAATTAAATAAATAAGCACTCTTTATCAGTAAAAGTGCATGATTGTATTGCTAAATAATGTACTCTGAAAAATAACATATAGACATGCATAAGGAAACTAAAAGCAGTGGGAAGGAAAGACAGGTAAATAATTGCAGTCTCAATGAAAATACAGACATCTAGCTGAAGCATTCAAGTAAATAGGAAGAGTAAAAATTAAAGTCATATTAAATTTTTGAAAGGTTTCCCCCCCAAAAAAAAGTGAAAAAAAATATGTTTATTAAAAAAAAGTGTTACTTTTTAGTAATGCCAGTTTTTAAGCTGTTCAGTATTTTTAGTAAAACAACTTCTGCCTATCACTTCAGATTTCTTAAACTGTTTGCATTTTGCATGATATACTGCTAGAAAACATATTTAAAAGAATTTTTGTTTTATTTTGTTCTTTTATTGCTTTTGAAATTTTTGTTGAAATTAATATTTATTTTTTGCATGAAGATTTTGGATATGTTGGCAAAGATGGAAAGTTTCATCAAATACTGTAAATATTAACTAAGTACAATATTTTCATATGTGCATGCTTAAATTGTGTTATTTATATTTTATGCATAATTTGTTTTGTGTTGCCTTTTGTTTTATTTTACAAATACCTTTATGTTGTTCTTCAGATTCCATCATTGTACTTAGAACTAAAGTTAATTCCAGTTTTTAGTGGAATCATAGCAGCGTCATTTGCATTTTATTCTAATCTCACAACAATTTTCACTGGAGGGTCTGGAAAAAATGGATCTACTGTTGCAGTAAGTTTGATATTGAGGTTCTCAACTTGAATGGCTTGAGAAATTTCATTCCTTTTGTAAATTTTGTTTAACCCTCTTTACCCATTATTACTAAATCATGCATCTTCATCATTTTGTTCTAACAACCGTGGCAATGATTTGTATGGATTATTTATGGTAAAACACACTGTTATATAGGAGATTATTTTAAACTAAATGTATAAATATATGGTTGGATTTATGAAAGAAGAGTGGTTTCTTGCCGCATAAAATTAATTGGTATAAAAAATTATTAAGTATGAGACACGTTCTGCAAATTGTTTAAAACAAGAAAATTTTATCTAGCTACTTAAATTGATTAAAGAAATTAGGTGTTATTTTGTGAAACTAAGAAATGCTTCACTTTTTGAAATTATGAAAACAGATTTTAATATATTAATTAGTTAATTTGTGTGGAATTTTTAAAATATCAATGAAAATAGCCTGAAAACTGTTTTCCATAAATGTATATGCTCATAAATTAAGTTAGATAATATATATTAAAGGTATTGTGTAACATTTTCTTTGTAAACGTTTGCTGTTGATGTTGTTTTCCTGTTTAAAATGTTATACCATGAAGGGCATAAGAATGTATATAAATAATAGATAATTTCTTAATTTTGAGTAAATTACTGTTATTAAATGAGGTACTTACAAATCACAACTTTTTTAAGTAAACGAGACATTGTGCAGAGTACGCTTGAATTTCAGTTATATATAGCTCAAAGTATAAGCACACAACACAAGTTTTAACAAGAAAATTTTCTTAAAATATTGAATTATTTTTTTAATAATTCAGTCAATCACCACTAGTTTGCATATTTTCATTTTAAACTAGCAATAAATATTCATGTGGATTGAAAACTGAACATATTTGTAAAGGTTAATTGTACCAGTAGAATTTTAATTTTTATTATGTGGTGAAATTTTTAAATGCAACTAACTACCTGCAATGATTCTGGATGATTTTGGTCTTTTGTGGTGTTGATCACTATAGAGAGGTGACATTCAATACTAATATTTATTTGAACTAATTTTTTTTAGATATTAATTATTTTTTCAGATAAGATTTGGTAAGGTTGCTGTTGTTAAAAAAAAACTGAAAGGGCTTACTTTCAAAAATGACATTATTTTTGAATTACAACATTATTTAGTCACATACTCAGTCATTTAGGATAGCACAGCCAGCAACCTTTACTGAGGCATTGAACATGGGGCAGATCTTTGTGGTTATACCTGAGAATTTAATTACTGGTCTATGAGGTAAATAATGAACACTACTCATGATTGTAAATGGCTCTACTTCTTCTATTTTGCTTTCTTTCCCCCATTAAAAAAATTGCATGATATTTGTTAAAGATATCCTCTCTTTGTAACCATTTAGTGACAGATTGCAGCTTTGTTTTAGCTATGTCATAGTTAATATGGAAAGGAGGATGCCCCACTATCCAGGGTAAAGCCACCTCATAACTATTGTCACTGTTAACAGTTAAAGTTTTCTTGAAATGCATTAAAGTTTCATCTTCTGGCACCTTTTTGCATTTCTATTCAGTCAGATCATGGATATCCAAAGTTTCCAACTCTCACATCTCTTTCACCTGAAAGTTTTTAGGCAGAGTGTGATGCTGTTAACTACTTCTCTTTTCTTCCTGAAACCTAGAATGGTTCAGGCAAGCAAGGTCTCTGCAGCTGAAACTCTTGATGATAATACCTTGAATTTTGCCAGCTAGAATCCTGCCTAAAATATCTGTGCGAAGAAGAATCATATTGGTGGTGTATTATCTCGAACATCTGTAAGTGCTATTTTGTGAGCCTTAAGTTCTGAAATTAAAAGATTGTCACAAATTGTAGGTAGGGTGGTGCAAATTTTGGGCTGGTCTGAAAAGAAATACTCATGGAAAACCTTTCATCTAGACTCTTTACTGTAACCTCATACTTTCCATGTTCTAAGCCAAAAAGAGTTCTACCACCAAATAATCCTTATGACAGCACTTTTGTACCCATAGGAGAAAGTTTCAGTTCCTTTATTAAATTATTTTCGATGTATGATCAGTTTAAGCCATTATCTAATAGAGCGCGTACTGTAACTTGGCTTCCTTTAGGGCAGACTTTAATCAAGACTGTCTTTAGATAGATTTCCCATAAAGAGGATTCTCCTGTAAATAGTGTAGTGCACTCGCTTTCTGTAGAATTTGTTTGGAATGTGGATTCATCAGATCCTTTATTCCAGTCTGGGCAAAGCAGAGCGTAATGTCATTGTTCACATATTATGCACCGAACGGTACTTTTATATGTTTTTGCAGTGTCCTAGCTTAAGACTTCAGCAACATCTTTTGTGAATAACTTGAGATTTCTTTTCATCTAGAGTCATCTTCTCAGATCTCCTGCAGTCTTTACTAAAATGTGGACAAACACCAAAAAAAAAAAAAAAATTAACCTTTTCATGCATGGACGAAGAGGTAAAGTAGAAGGGATATTATTTCTTGAAGTATCAACTTCCTTTTTAACCTTGAGTTCCGAAACCTGATTGAGCCAAATTTATCATTTCCTCACCATTAACTTCTTGCCTTAAAATTTTTATGAGTCGTAAAGGAAGCCAAGTTACAATACAGATCCTCGACTGTTTCCAGCAACTTTGTTGCTACTATTAGGAAGGTTGGACACTTGGTATCCACTAGCTCTCAAAACATCTTCAGGAAGACAAGAAATATGTGTTTATATATATAAATTGTTTTAACAGTTATTATTATATCTTATATTTGGCTTGTGAAGTATGTGTACTGTTATTTTTGTAGTGAAATATTATTACTATAAATTTTCATTTTTATTATATATATTATTACTATAAATTTCATTTTTATAATATTAATATAGTATGCACTCTAATTTGAGTGTAAAATAAATGTCGGTTATAAATTGAATTTGCAATAACTATGGGTTGCATTGACCTTTATATTATCAGATGTGCTGTTTTAACAAAATAGCATCAATTTTGCTTTTCCTTCTGAAATACTAACACTGCAAAGATTTCCAAAGATAATATATTACTTGTCTGGTGAAGTTATGTTTCAGGTCCTTTAAATAAATTTTCTCCTTAAAGTATTCTTTCTGCTTAATCTCATAGTTACCTGGTTTGCATGCTGAGCTGCGACTTGTACCTATAACTATTGCCTTTATTGTTAGTTTGATGCTGTGTTACAGTTATTCTACTGTCATCATTTCTGGAGGTATTGGCAAAAATGGTTCTTCTGTTGCTGTAAGTGTGAGAACTATTTTTCATGTATTGTGTTGCATGCTTAAAGTTACTGCATGCCCTCCAACATAATACGTTTCTTGCATTTCACTTGTTTTGGATCTCTATATAATTGCTGTACTTATAGCGTAGTTTTCATTATTAATTATTAAGTACTTAAAATTATGCATTATTAGTTATTAAGTACTTAAAATTATGTAGTTGTACATTTATAGTCTTATTAAATATAAAACAGTAGAAAAGAAAGAAAAATCTTTTCAAGCTGCTTCCCTGAATAATAATAATATTCGGATTCAAAGAGCGATAAATTGATAGATTTTTTCCCTATGAATAGGTGATAGCTATTGATTTAATATTATTAAGTACCTAAACTTATGCTGTGAGACTAAAATATGTGATGAATTGTTAAAAGTAAAATATGGGAAATGCCATCTTACTCAAAAAGTAAGTGTTTGTTAGTAAAACATAGATATTGCGTCATCCAAGAAAGTTCTGTTGTTTTTCAAATCAAAGCACATTTTCTTCTTTCTGTTTTGTTACTGCTAATAAGGAGTGACCGTAATCAAAACAGATGTTTAAATACAGTCTTTTCTGCTCGAATTGCTTAATTCTTGTGTTTAAAAATTATCTTGAAATTTTGATATCAAGTTAAAAATTAAAAATTACATTAATGATAATTTTTCAAATCTTTAAAAGTAGGCCTTTTTATTTCAGTAGGAACATCAAAGTTGAGAGTATCTTTTCACTCCGGGATGTATGCTCACAAATATGTTGAATTAGAGTACAAAACATGTAATCCATGGAGTAAAGAGGCCACATGATGACAAACACAAAAATATATTGAAACATAACAATAATAAGAAGGCGCAAAATTACTCTTAAAGTAGATATTATCAGCTATCTATACCAGTGAATATTCTTTTTTCCCTGATGTGTTCAAAAGTCTAAATTAAGCCAAAACTTGTGCCATAAGAAAGTTGAGGTGTGGCGTACTTTTCACACATGATAGTTCTTTAGCGAATAGCAAACTCAGAAGTTCGTTTTCATCATGTTATGCTGCTATTTAAAAAAAAAAAAAATTAATAAGTATTATTCTGACTACTCACAAAAGTTGCACCTTATGTGGACAAAGAGCTGTATTTCTGATGGCACAGTTCAAACATAGTTTGAGAAGTTGAAGCATGGAAATTTTAGCTTTGAAGATGATGCTTGTTCTGGATGAGCATCCTCTGTAAATAAAGACCTGTTTAAAAAAGTCAGCTGTGAAAATCTATATAACACAGTTCAGGAACTAGCAGACTGGCTAGGTATTTCAAAAATTGCAGTACATAATCATTTGAAGAAGACTGGTCAGTGCAATGTGTGGATACTCTGTACCTTAGTAGAGCAGAATGTGCTTACTTGAGTTTTGGCTTATGATTTTTTTTCTGAAAAGAAATAAAGAAGCTCTTAAAAAAGGCTCATTACTGGACATGATATTTATATAATAATATTAAAGAACAAAAATTGAAGCAAAGCACCCAGAATGATCAATCATTGAGGTGGTCTTGTCTTCCATCATGACAGTGCTCAGCTCTACATTTTGATGAATGTCTGGCAAAGACTATTGATTATAGCTGGGATATTTTGTGTCACCTACTATATTCACCCTACTTTGTACCCTAGAGTTTTTTTGCTTTCAAGTTGCTTCAAGTCTCTCTGAATGGCTTGGATTTCAATTCTTTGGAGACTATCAGATTGTTTCTTGATAACTTCTCTATGAATAAACCTAATGACTCTTATAAAAAGGGAATTTTCCATCTGCGAGAGAAATGGTAAAATGTCACAGAACAAGATGATGCTTATGTCATTCAATGAAATTTTTGTATTAATTTTTTGTATTTGTATTTGAAATTTTTGTATTTGTACTGCTCATTTACATTTATCATAATAAGCTGTGAATCTTTCCGGATGACCCAACACATGGCTTTATTTACCCAATAAAATAAAAATGAAATGTAACCTTTTGTTTGATTTCCCTTTTCTCCCATGATGAAGAATGCATGTTAATCAAATTTATTCTTATTCATTTGTTAAGTTTCCAACTTCATTTTAAATTTATTAACTTTTTTAATATCTTTATATAGGGTACAAGCATATTATCTCCCTTCACACCTTTAGCTCTTGTCATTGTGCCTGCATTCATTATTTATCAAAAATCAGCAACAAATGTATATGAAAACCATCCATGCTTGTATGTCCTAGCTTTTGGAATGGTTGCTTCAAAAATAACAAATAAACTTGTGGTAAGTACATAAATTTTCTATGTGTATATAAGATGATGCTTAATTTAACATGGTTGATGGTCTATTAGACCTAACAAATTATGAATTGTAACATAAAAATCTTTTGTTTATGAAATACAGTACAAAATCTGAGATCTGGATGTCCAATATCCAGAATAATCTAAAATCTGGATCTCAGACGCCACTACCAACTTTTTTAAAATTTTATTATATTTTTTTTGTGGGCTTTACGCCCTCAAAAATCCCCCCTTTGCACATAATAAAGCACGTGAAGATTCCCAATTCTTAATTTCACTTCGGCACTAAATAAAATACCTCATTATTGAAGAAACAATCATTTTAGCATAAATTTGTATGATCAATAATTTTGCTCCGTAGCTGCATATCTGCCTGTCATACATCCCAAACCAAAACATTTTACAGATACATAGTTCATTTTACTCCAACTAATATTTTATATCCCTGACGCCAACCCGGTGAATCATTATTTATTATAGTTTGCTTTCATCACTGCATGTTTATCAACACATGACAACATGAGTAATGACTCATGGAGTGATGCCTAAACAATTTTTTTTTATATTAGTAATTGAGAAACAGTATGGTAAACTTTTATGTTGACATTATGCTTGACGATGATTACAGATTTAAGTTAAATGCACTAAGAAATGTTGACAGGAAAAATTTAACCAAAATTTCTTTCCATATAATTTCTTTTAACAAAATCTGCTTTATGCTAAAAGTAGATTTTGTTAATGATACTCATAGGCCAAAAGATTACATTTAGTGCTGTTTGAATTAAAAAATAACTCATTTGTTATTCACATAAACCCAGAACCAGTGCCGCACCGGGTGGTAGAATTAGGAGCCACAGAGACTGCATCAGGCAGTAAGATATGTGGGAATTTATTTATTCAGGAGTCAGATATGCATTAAGCATGTGCAGGAAATAGGTGTATGTATAATAAATAACTAAACTAATAACAATTCAGGCTTAATTGTCTCAGTGTGCGATAGAAGCGAGATAAAATTTAGCAGAACAACTTGTCTTTAGTCACCAATCTCATAATACTTAGCCAAATATGTGTAGTGAACAACAGCTAAATTTTATGATAATAGGTGCGAATCTTAAGGTTTTCGGATATCGCAAACCAAAGGTAAAATTTTCCAATTAACGGATTTTATATAAATGTGGAAAGTGTAAAATGCTGAGATATAAGAAGTTTTTTCACTGTAATTTGTGTTCACGGTTTCACATTCATTATCACTTACCCCATGGTAATCGTAGTATGTCTTCTTTCTAAAGAAAATCCACTGACAGATTTCTGACAATTTCAATGCAAAATTCTATCACACAGCAATAGAGGACTTTCCAATGTAACTTTGTAATAGAATTATGGCTGTCTATATAGTAAATAAGAAGTATTAGCACAAAAAAAAAAAAAAAAAAAAAGTAACTTAAACACTTGAAGACTTTTTAATAAGAAAACTAAATATTAATTTTTTTAATGGTAATTTTGATACCCTTTATCATAATGCTTTTTGTTTTGCACACATTTACATATTTTTACTTTTACATTTCTTGTACTCATCTTACTGATTTAACTGTCTAATATACCGGAAAAATCCAGAATTGCGGAAATCCAGGCGAGTTCATGTCGGGGACTTTGTACTTCAGTGCATTTTCTGTTAATACTTTTTTGTATTTTAATTTCATCAAATTGCTTTTGAGAATTTAACTTACTTTCTATACACTCTGGGTTAATTATCTTACAGTACAGAGTACATGGTGATATCTTACAGTACATGGTGATATTCTTCCCATGATTGTTTATTTTTTAAAATTTACATAGAACTTTCTTTTTTGCTAAAATATATTCTGGTTGATTTTATAATGTTATGATTTTAATTTTCTTTTAATTTTATAGAATTTCTCTTTCTTAGTCCAAAGGGATTTGAATCCCGAAGGACTATTAGTTTCGTTTTGGCATTTTGCGTCGGACTCATAATTGTCGGCTCACTTTTCAAAGTGTTGCCAAAAAGGTTAGAGTCCTGCATTATATTTGAAGAAATTAAATAATGAAAATCTGCGTAAATGTATGTATATTTCTCACATTGTCATAAAATAACGGTACATAGAGTCATCGAATTTTGAATAACGTAATCCTCCAACGAATATGAGCATGTGGAAGACCAAATTTGAAATTTGAAATTTGTTTTATGATCGATTTCCTATTTTTTAAAACTTTGACGAATTTTTGATTAACAAACTCAAGGATTTCAAAGCGAGCAATGGCAACGTTGTGCAGAAAAAACATTTTTATCTCCAGCGCGTGAGTCTCTGTATCGGAAATTCTAAAGATATGCTCGTTTTAAAACTATTTTGCGATATTGCTGTTGCACTGGATCTTATGGTTTAAGTGCGAGGAACATGATATTTAATAAAGAAGGTAACACACAAAATGTTAAAAAACGCCCCTTTGGACGTAATTTAAAATCTGAAACATTTCAGATTTTTTTTTTTTTTTTTTTTTTTTTTTTTTTTTTATGTAACATAGTAAAACTTACTTTAATTATAATTTGGGCACCTTAAGTAAGCATTGTAAAAGTTTGTTCTGTTACTGTTGGGATTTTATTGTTACTTAGTCCCGCAAGTAGGCACATATTCACTGGAATGAATAATGATGAGTGAGGGCAAGTAGTGTTTAGTAGATGAGTATCTATTGAAAAGTTCTCAGACATCATAAAAATACATTTAATATTGATTAATTCATTTTTGACTCATCACCTTCAAAGCAATAACATCTAGTGCATATATGCAACTATAGAACACTTTGTTCATTCTATTATTGTAAACCATTTATGAATGTGACAATGTTTTGGCCATTCTTAGTACACTTTTTCCTCTCTTTAAAGCATTCAGAACATCAAATTAAAAGAATCAGCATTGATTGTAACATTAGGGAAGCAAGCTGTTGATAATATTTTTAGCTTTTGTGTGTGTAGGGGGGAGCACATGCATTTTGTTGAACTAGACTCATCGTGGTTTTTTGGACTTGAGGATTACAGATTCTTCCTTTGTGAGAATATCTGGTTTATTTCTAGATTATATTTGTCAGTCCAACTGTCATCATTTGAGCTGATCCTTTTTTTTCATCATTTATGTAGAGTTGAGAAAGGAATTTTGTGTATTCAACTGTGTCCTAATTTTCAACCCTAAAGGGTGGAAACCTAATAATATCATAATTTCAAACTCATCTTCCTACTAAACTTTTGAGAAGACATTCTAATTCATAGATTTTAATTGCCTGCATTCTGTAAGGACTTTATATTATGCTAAGAAACGTCCTTACGTTACCCAAGATTTATATTCAAACCTTGTAGCTTGACTGTTCGAATTGCGCAATTGAAATTCTCTTTGAGAAATTGCAAACAGTATTCTAAATGATAATGACAATGAAAGAAGTCAGAAAATAAAAGATATAACAAAGCCTACTACAATCCTCACGAACTAGAGATCAATATGTCAGGTGAAGGAACGCCCGAAAACCTAAAAGTAGGGCAAGGTCTCATACAGACTACCGATAAATTTTTCGTACAAAAACCTTATTTACACCTAGTCTTAAGACTAACGCGATGGTCGTGCATTAACATCCTGACTAAACCTGCTAGCCCGATATGCCTCCATTAAACTCAAATCTACGTATTTAAACTATAACGTACATCCCTCTTGAGTGCGGTGTCTGTTGCTCAAGTTCTTACTTGGCATTCGTGCGCTAAAAGGCCGCACTCAAAACTAAATGAGCAAGAAGCATCTTCAGCAATCTATATCAGCAAGGGTGTAAGCAAATAAAATTTACTGTCGGCAGAGTCAAAGGGCTTATCATATATGGACCAACTGGTAGTCTAAATCCATATTTTCAATAAATATCAGATCTTTTGCGGTAGGGTTTTTAGTATAGAATAAGAGCAAGGCTTATTAACCTTTTATATGGGGCATCTAATATATTCTGGCTTGGGACTTATAACGTGCAACCTCATTCAATACAAATCTAGAAAGCTGTCAGATTCTTGACTTTAAGTACAACACTAATGTGTTATTATTATTATTTTTTCTCGCTATTATATGCGTATCTTTCTTATTTATTTTTTTTTTCTTACATTTTTTTTGTTTTTTTTGCTAATTGTCGGGCTATTCAATGGATTGAACTATGAGCAAAACTCAACACTAGTATTATCCTATTTTTATATCTCGAGCTTCGGGCATCCTTACGCTACATGGGATATACTGAGAAGCTATAGCGATGAAAACTGAATGGGCCTTATATTATGAATGTGTTAACTAAATAAGTTTCATTACTACTGCTACTCACTTGGACGTCGAATTGAGCATGGCAATGTCTCACTGTTATAGTCACAGTAGCTAATACCTTCAATAATTTAATGTGGGGGACCAGGGTCATTCATATTATCACCTGTTCTATAGTATATCAGCTAGAAGATTTTGCTAGCACCAGAGGTAGTCCCAAACAACCACCAAACAAAAACGTAACAAAAAAAGGAGAGGAGGAAGGAGAAAAAAAACTAACCACACAACAAAAAACAAAAGAGACAAAAAAAAAAGGAAACCAACCTAAAATTAAATTAGCGATTCAAGTGCCTATAATATCTCATCTAATTTAAGTATTGTGGCACATTTGAAGCCTTAGCCAGATATGCTACTACGCACTTAAGAAGGTATTCATCGGGCTAAGTAATATTTTATGGACCATTATATTCGATATTTACTATCTGTCCTAAAGTACGCTTGAGGGCGGCGTTTTAGTGCATCAACGCTAGACTAATGACATACTTAGACTACGAGTAGATTTTACTTATACTTTAGAACGCATATGTCCATGGCGATCCAGCACCGACCAACATAGTAAAAAATTAGTTGGCGGGCAGGTTTCTCGCGCCGTCACTTAATACCTATCAACGAATCACTACAGACCAGCGCT